TTTTATTGCTTTAAGGGCTTCATTGGTAGCCCATTAAGATTCTACTAGGTTTTCGACTTCGACGGAGTTGTGCTTAAGTGGTGGGGGCCTCTGAAAGGGGCGTTTTTTCGGTTTTCCGGTTATACCGCATAAGGACTTACCGTATCGAAAAGTGGTCTTCAGGACGGTTAAAGGGCACTTAATTCTGCATTGAATAAGACCAAATTCATACGTTTTGGACAAACCGTTCTCGTGCTTATCTTCGACAAAGTAGAAAATGTACGTATTAATTAATAACCCTCTCTATGTCCAATAGCTCGTCACCCGCAGGCTCCCAAGCCTTGTAAGGGGCCGCCTTAACCAGCTTATCCCTGTCAAGGCTCGCGAGTTGGATTCGCTTATTCTTGTTCGTCCCAGCCGATCCTTAACTGCGGTTGCTGCACCTCTTCCTTGCACTCTCCTGAACGACTCTGTGTTATCTACTATGGCTGCCCCTCTTCCTTGTACCCTCCTGTAAGACTGTATTGCTTAGCCGTATGCCTGGTCCAAGGTTCGACGCCAAAAATCAACAACAACAAGTTCATATTAAAACGCTGAAGAGTTTTTTGTTTGTTTGTTTGACCGCGCTAATCTCAGGAATTAGTTGTTTGATTTAAATAATTATTATTGTGTTGAATAGCTCATAAATTGAGAAAGGCTATAGGATACATACAATCACTCTACGACTAATAGAGGCGAAGCAGTAAAGAAAAAGAAAATGTTGCAAGCACGGGAAATAGTTCCGCAGTTAAGGATTGGTTGGGACGAACAAGGATAGGAGAATCCAACTCGCAAGCCCTGACAGGGATACGCTGGTTAAGGTGGCCCTATATAAGGCTTGGGAGCCTGCGGGTGACGAGCTATTGGACGTAGAGAGGGTTATTAACTAAACGTAAATTTTCTACTTTGACGAAGATAAGCACGTGAACGGTTTGTCCAAAACATAATGAATTTGCTCTTATTCAATGCAGGATTAAGTACCTACCCTTCAACCGTCATGAAGACCACTTTTCGATAGGGTAAGTCCTTTACGCAGTATAACCGGAAAACCGAAAAAACGCCCCTTTCTGGGGCCCCCACCACTTAAGCACAACTCCGTCGAAGTCGAAAACCTAGGAGAGTCTTTATGGGCAACCAATGAAGCCATTAAAGCAATAAAATCTTTTGTAGGAATTATTTCCGATTTAATTCATTTTTGTGTTTAATTGTCTACTGGCCTATTCAGACTGCATAAGATTGGTAATTCATTTATGGGAAAATGTATTAAATTCTTTAATAAATTACCACAAACTGTTGTACCCATTGACCATTCATAAATTCAAAGCACATATTAAAAGTACCTTAATGAAAAAGGGCTACTATAAAGTCTATGATTATTTAAAAGATAAAAATGTTTGGGATGTGTTACTGCCTAGCTCGCATAAATATTTATAGTTAACTTTGTACATTTTAAAGCCTGTAAACCTTTGAAATAGAGGCTGACAATAGTGACTGAGTTTCTTGCGCTGCTTCTTCTCAGCACTGGCCCATTTATTGTCCTGAAGCAGTGGTAGGGTTAATACTGGGACGTGTAAAAGTGCTTTTTTTAAGCCTATTTACAGAAATAAATGAGTTTTATCGATTATAATTAAACATTAGAACATTCACGTTAAAAAGTTCGTAAAATACCTACCTACTTATTTTTATGATTTAACGTGATGAAATAGAGTTTTAGATTTTCAAGTGAAAGTAAAGCATAGCCTAAGCGCTTCGCGTTTAAGGCATGCAAGATATTTTACGCTCCTATCTAAATTAATCTTTTTTTATTTCGGTCAGACGCGTTGGAGCGCGGGGCCCCCAAATTCGCGGGGCCCGTAGCATTTGCTACTCTTGCTACGTGGCTAATCCGGCACTGCGATAACCTCATAATAAAGGTAGCAGGAAGGCGCTGGATGCGGCAATTGTGTAAATCATTGGAGGAGGCCTATGTTCAGCAGTGGACGTCCTATGGCTGAATGATGATGATGATGATGAATACCCGCATAGAAGTCATTAACTGAAGATTACTTATTTACTTTTACATAGTTAATTTGTTTTGGAACATAACGTTTTCTACTATTTACGCTGCGGTTAATTGTTATTGTCGGTACAGTGTAAACAAGCATTTCGTTTCATTTCTTATTGTGTTTGTTACTGTACCTCATGTTGATAAGCCATGCATGTAAAATAAATAAAAGATTGACCCAGTAATATTAAACTCGCGACGCCTCTAACCGTCAGAAATGGAAGCACATCGCCAAGAAAGCTACCCTCGGAGATGACACCGAACACCCCACCGTGTACCTCATCAGCGCAACCACGACCACTCTGACAAGAGTGCCCGACTAAGAATATTAAATAATCTTACTTTTCATTGTCATTCCAGCGCCGTTCCAGTGCGGCCCCAATGAAGTCTACGCCCCCTGCCCGCCCCTGTGCTCCGACGACTGCTCCCTGGCCCCCTGGGGGAACGGCCAGTGTCCCCCGACCTTCGGTTTCATCGGCATAGTCGTGTCCTGCACCCCACAATGCCGCTGCCGAACTGGATTCTGGAGAAAGAACGGAACCTGCGTGACTCTTTCGGAATGTAAATGAAACCGCTGATGCACGTCAAGAGAAAAATAGGAATAAATGTAAAGGTTTTTTGTTGTATTTTCCTCTGACTCAACTAATGGCTATGCACTATTATTATGTGTAAGGAATGTGTGTAAGTACCTAAGTAATAGATAAGAAATTTTTAGGACTAAAAAATCTAAGTGTTTTGTCAATTTAAACAGGGTGATGGGCACAAATAAGAGGAAGAATCTATGGATTATCGTTTTGGCTTTACCCTTAATAGGTAATATCATTAAACTCGTAAAATCTACAGTCACAATGACATAATATTAAGTAGATACTAAGTAGTTACTTTTCGAATTAAGCCTAATTAGAAAAATCACAATTCTGATTCATAAATTTATTTCATTTCCTTGAAAATAATTATGATAAGAACAAATTATGACGCACTAAATAAACCCCAATTAATGTGACGTGTTTTCTTTTATTGCTTAGATATCCACACCAATTTTTTGACAAAACGAATACTAGGATACGATACGATCTGGTGAAGGTCGCGGGAAGAACCTGGATGCGGACAGCGCAGGACCGCAGAATAAGTAATAGTACCATGGCAGGACCGGCCGTTAAGGAAATCCTTTTCCAGCAGTGGACGTCATTTGGCTGAAACGAACGAACGACGAATAATAAAGTTAGTAAGTAGTTACTATTCCTCATCAAGTAACTTAGCTACGTCATATTCAGTCACCTATATTAGGTAGGTATTTCAAGGTCAGTCATTTAACATTGTATTGCCAATAAGTTGACAACTTACTTAGGTGTTTTCTTGAAAATTAGGTAGATATAATCATGACATTTATCTATTTATACAGGCATAGTAGCACATACAAAACCTTACCTACTACGTTTTAGATATGTACGCAATCTGTTAAATACACGCATTACACCTGTACTAATAATTTAAAATTATCCAAAATCAAACAAAAAGTGCTAAAGTAGTACCCAATACCACACGTGTACACGTGACATGATGGCTGTGATCTATCTATAATATTATGGGGGTAATTTTATAATACCAATGCGTGGACCCCTACATTTGTATTTTCTATGCTCCTACCTACTTACATGCTTGTTCTTTTGGACCAGGAGTGTTTCGAGTAAATTGATTTCCTGGCATAACAACACTGAATTTCTTACGTCAATTTTTCATAGCACCAACCTAGATGTTCTTCCTAAGCTATTTGGCTATTATAAATATTTTTGAAGTACTGTAACTAAATTAATAATCCAGAGTTTGACTTTATATAACTTTCACAAAATAGGTGGTAGGTAATTAATTCTTAATCCCTAACTTCAAGATGTAGCAAATAAAATATTAATAGCTCCGTAGACAATGTTTTACAGTTACATAGAATACTGCCACTACAGCTGTGGCCGCGGAGCAAGGATGGCGCGTTGGATCATCATTTTTCTATGCGCGTGCGTCGCCGGTTGTTTAGCAGAAGGTGAGATCTTCTTTTGTTTTTTGCGTTTACTTTTTAACCGCTTTATTCTTTTTTTTTATTATAGGAAAATGATTTCAAAAGGATAGAATTTTCGGTCGAGTTTTCATCTCGGATTCGATTTTAGAATAACTTGATCAAAATACATTCATTTACCTACGTTATTATCATTATTTTCGAGCGCTAAATTTTAGGTTTTGTGTTTTGGGTAGACAGTGTAAAAAAATTATCTAATAAGTAATTTAGTGGTAATAAGATTTATTAAAATGATAACTACTTCCTTCAAAATATTCCAAACTACCTACCTACCTATCGACTCTCGAATCGGCAGTCCAACTGATACCTTTGCAAATCACATTTTGTTGCAGTCACCCCTATCACAGCCACGTAAGATACCACAGTGTTTACCTTGATGTATGTAATATGTATGATGTTTGTCTGTAGGTACCATACAATTTATTTTGTACCTCGACTTTCATCACGTTTGTCCCTTTTGCAATTTCTTCAAACATGACTAACTAATTTATTATTCATGTAGGTAAGCAAATGTTACACTTTTATTGCAATGTTTGCGCTAAGTATTTTTATGTTTAAATTAAACTGTTTTTCTGTGCGAGTGTAGGTTTTGCGTCATATTTCTTAGTTAGTTGCCATCACATAATAAAATAACACCTGGGCTAATATAGATCTAACTACTTTCGTTTCAGCCAAATGACGTCCACTGCTGGACAAAGGCCTCCCCCAAGGTTTTCCACAATGAACGGTCCTGCGCTGCCCGCATCCAGGCTCTTCCCGCGACCTTTACCAGATCGTCGGTCCACCTAGTAGGAGGCCTGCCCACGCTACGTTTTCCAGCCCGTGGTCGCCACTCGAGAACTTTCCTGCCCCAACGGCCATCGTCTCTACGAGCTATGTGCCCCGCCCACTGCCACTTGATTTTAGCAATTCTGCGAGCTATGTCGGTTACTTTGGTTCTCCTACGGATCTCCTCATTTCTGATTCGATCACGCAGGGAAACTCCGAGCATAGCCCGCTCCATCGCCCTTTGGGTGACCTTGAGCCTTCTTATGAGGCCCATAGTAAGCGACCACGTTTCGGATCCATATGTCAACACTGGCAACACACACTGCTCGAAGACTTTCGTCTTGAGACACTGCGGTATTTCGGACATGAGTATATGGCGAAGCTTCCCGAACGCTGCCCATCCGAGTTGGATTCGACGATTGACCTCTTTCTCGAAGTTGGACCTACCTAACTGGACTGTTTGTCCCAGGTATACATAATTGTCGACAACTTCGAGTGTAGAGTCTCCAACCTTCAGAGGAGTGGGTGCAACACGGACATTAGACATGATTGGAAGATGTCTTCAAGCTTCTGGACTGGAACGGATTTGGCATAAATATCAACGGCGAGTACATCACCCACCTTCGATTCGCGGACGATATCGTAGTCATGGCTGAGACCTTGGAGGATCTAGGCACAATGCTCGATGGCCTCAGTAGAGCCTCTCAACAAGTGGGCCTCAGAATGAACATGGACAAGACAAAAATCATGTCTAATGTCCGTGTTGCACCCACTCCTCTGAAGGTTGGAGACTCTACACTCGAAGTTGTCGACAATTATGTATACCTGGGACAAACAGTCCAGTTAGGTAGGTCCAACTTCGAGAAAGAGGTCAATCGTCGAATCCAACTCGGATGGACTCCCTCGAATGGATTTCCCAGATCTAACTACTTTATCACTAAGTAACAGTTGAAAGATAAAATGAATAAAACAATTGATAATAAATATCAAAGAATGAACAACTGTTAACTACTTACCAAAACTTATAAATACAAAAGTCTTCAAATGTCTTTAAATAACTTAATAGGTACTTGCCATTTCGTCTTATGGTGATAAAATATCCACAATAACCATGGACGTCTCGGTCAAACGAAATTACTTACATGTCGTCTATGATTTAGTTAGAGTTTTTAGAGCCAATTGAATATGATACCACAAAGTAGATTTGACTATAAATATCTTGAAAAAATCGAACTGCCTAAGGCGGGAATCGAACCCATGACCTTTCGCTTGCCGGGCGACTGCTCTACCATCTGCAATAGAGACATCTGAACTACTTACACACGAGATGAACCAGATTTGACCTTAGGCTTTACCCCTGAGACAAACTAGTTGACTTCACCAGTTACAGTCAGCTGTAGTTCCTGGCTCCACAGGAGTTGAAGACTTGCAGAGGTGGAAACGAGAGGTGGAAAAAGTCCTGTTTAGGTTAGGTACAAACTATTTTTTTTATGCATAACAAGGCAGGTTAGCCACACTCGCACCGGGTGTTAAGTGAGATGCTGTCTATTCACTCTCGCCTTGAAAAGACCCGGATTATAGTGTTTGGGAAAGACAGCAGCAAGTAGCGAATTCCAGTCCCTAGCTGTTCGCATTATAAAAGAGTCATCAAAACGCTTAGTGCGAGCTGGTGGAATGTCGACAATGTAGGGATGGTACGCTAACCTGCGCCTGGTTCACCGGTGATGGAAGGTACTAGTGGAATTAGTTCAAGTAATTCCTTCGCACATTCTCCGAAGTATAGCCTGTAGAAAACCATTTGTGTACCTAACTACGATTTACGTACGGTGCATTTCAGATCCAGTATGCAGCGACAATGAGATCCTAGACAACTGCCCTGTGGACTGCGCAGACGACTATTGTCCGTCGAGCGAAGCACAAGCGCTGCAGGCGTGTCCCCCCAGTCCCAAGCCCTGTAACCCACCAGCCTGCAAATGCGGCTTCAACTACCGCTATGCCAGTGTCAAGAACAAGACTTGCATCCCTACTAGAGAATGCCGTAAGTTAAAATTCTGGATACATAGCCTCCCAGGTCTGCTATTCAGTAGAAGAATATTATCAGACGACATAAGAGAAAGCAGTCGTATCTTTATTTAAGACCGAGGACATTCATAACAAAATAACCCTAATTCTGGCGCAGTCAGGTAAAAATAGAAGCTGTACCTTCATTACCGCTGTCTTTACGTACCTAGCACAATCAAAAAAAAATCTAAGAAAGTCACTTCTGGCGGTACTCTACGGCAGAACTCTAAGAATATTTAGCCAAAACACTTGAAAGACCTTCAGCTTAATATAAAATCGTTCCTCACATTACAGGACCCTTCAAATGCAGCCGTCCTAACGAAGAATTCAACCCGTGCCCGCCATATTGTCCAACGGACAGCTGTGACGAGGCTACCCCTGACGGTAGATGCCCGCGGCCAGGCCGCATCCTTATCGTACTGCAGTGCACACCAAGGTGCCGTTGCATCGATAACTACTGGAGACAAGATGGTGTTTGCATACCCTATGCGGAATGTCGTAAGTGATAGAATTGACTATTCGTGAATATTTGAGAAATTATAATCAAACTCCTTAAATTTGTACACACTATCTACCTACTTATGATGGGTATGTAGGTATACCGCATTAGGTATAATTTTTGTGGAGCAACTACTGCTGCTGCTAATGGAATGTTATTTCGTTAGTTTGGAAGCACCATACATGTTAACGGAACTATTCCCACCTCTCGTTTCCACCGCTGCAACTCCTGTGTAGCCAGGATCTACCTTCTATACCTACATGTTAATTTAATCAAAGGTTTTTCTGCTAACAGCAAAATGAGTCTCCCTCCATAATCTAATGCAAAAGTTCGTTCGTTCGTTTTAACCAAATGCCGCTCCCAAGTATTCCACAACGACCGCTCCTGCGCCACCCGCATCCAGGCACCTCCCGCGATAATCGCCAGATCGTCAGAATGCAAAAGTATATTGTATTGTCGCAAGGATATATATAAAAGAAATGCATATAACACGAGTATAGTTATGTATAATCTACTACCGGAAGAACTTAAAGTACTCCAAGGCCCTATATTTAAAAGCAGATTGACTTGCTGGCTTTTGGACAAATGTTTTTATAGTTATAAGGAATATTTTAATTGGCGACATTGATACTATTAATTTAATTTTACATTGACATTTTCTTAATTATTTGACATTAATATTATTGAATCCTGTAATTTTTGCACGTCTGCGAGCAGACTAAACACATGATCCTATTTAATATTGTCACCCTGTATTACTGTGTTTTTGGCAAATAAACGTTTTGAATTTGAATATTAACTTACTTTCATAGCCCAAAACAAGAACTCCACATCTGACTACCCTGACTACGACGAAGCATCAGAGTACTTGACGTCTTTCGCAACAGCTTCTGCGTCAGCTGTCGCATTTTCCAACGATTCTCCAAACGCATCAGCGGCTGCATCAGCTGTCGCTTCAACTGACCCGTCAGGTGGTGCGTCTGCTGGTGCATCTAGCGCCGCTTCTGGTGGATCTAGCGTTGCTACCGCTAGCGCTGCAGTAAAACATGGTAAAAAAGGTAAATGACAAATACAAAATGTATTCATAACTACACGTAGTTAATTAATCAATAATTTTGTTTTTCACAAATACTACTAGTCTCGTTAGACCCTCATACTAAGCTAAATCTGCTTGTGTCTCGAGGGGGCTCACAGCATTTAGTCGGTGACGGTCATTCGGATTACGAGTCGGCCAGTCCAACCCTTTCACCGTTCGGTTATCGTGGCTTCTTTCATCTATTGTCTGGATGCGATTGTTGCAAATAGCAGACGACAAAGTTTATGGAATAGGTTTCATTCTGAGGTCAGATTTGATTTTACCTGACAGTAGCAGACCCTATCTGATTACCTGCAGGCAGACTTATTAAATCAAATTGCGTTATTTGAACCATACCTTATCATTATGCTTTTTCACTAAATCACTGAAAATACTGAAATATCAGTAGGGTACATTGAATTTTAATCTGATATTTTTGTCGACAGCACCAACCTGCAGCGGACCTAACGAAGAGTACGTCTTGGAGAAGAAGTCCTGTCCCACTGAGCTCTGTTCTTCCATGGTGGAACGCAGAGACTGCAGAAACGCGCCTCCTCCTCAACCAGGATGCGCTTGCAAGTCGGGATTCCTCCGAGTCAACAAAACTTCACACTGTGTACCCATATGCAAATGCCCCCAGATGCTACATTCCCCTGATTGCTTATAAGTTTTTTTTTCTGATTGTATTGTATAATTAGCACATTCAATTTTGAGTCCTTTTTAATAAAATCAAACAAGGGACAGACAAAGCAGATTCTAAATACAAATAAAGAATAATGAGGTAACAAGAAGTGAATATGTTTCATTTAATTTTTTTAAGACAGGGAAAGGAGAGAATCTCAAGCGTTGGTAGAGATTTATAGACTACTTACCCAGCTACAGTTCGTCTTTTTGTTTACATTTTAACCACAGAATAAGTAATAGTACCATGTTTAACCCAAAAAACATGGATTTGACCTAAAAAGAAATCTTAAAGAGGGTAAGATGGAGGATTTAAATGGAAAATTAATAATGTCCTCTGGCTTATTAGAATAGTCCATTGTTCATAGCACGACATAATTTAGACTTTAAGTAGGTACCTTACCTAAGAAGTTAGGTATAGATACCTACTTACATACCTACCTATCTCATAAATTTAACGTGTTTTTCGTGACTTAAATAACCGAATCGTGAATCATTTTTCCGATAACTTTTAAAAGTATCCAAATCAAAACCATCATAAAAAAAATATGCAACAGTGTCTGTAAACATGCGTACCTACCTAAAGACAGCAGGAAGGCGCTGGACGCAGGCCGCTACCAACCGGGCAACATTTGGGGGAGACCTATGTTCAGCAGTGGATGTCATAAGTATGGTCTAAGCCAGTCATGGCAGCCATAGCCATAGATACACTTTATGGCTCTAGACAAATTACTGCTGTAGGTATAGGCCCAAAGCTGAAAACGTGACACATGACCTCACCTGTGCTAATAATGTAAAAATATCATTTCTTGTGACTTTTTCCGGTAATGAAAATATTTATAGTCGAACCGACCTATGGAATGTGATCATTTGGAGAACAGTCACGGAAGAAGCATGGCGCTTTGGCTGGTAATTTTGCTCTGCGCGTTCATCGGTTGCCTGGCTGATGGTAAGGTCTTCTTTATTTAAAAAATTGAATAACTAGTCTGTTAAAATCTTGCCTTTTAGTATAGGACATGTTTAATTGTTCGGAATAATGCTGAGCAAGAAACACGGTCACTAATCATTCAAACCATCGCGATGCATAGCGGTATTTGTGAAAAATACCTTTGGAAGCCTCGGGATGTGGGTAGCAATAGCAACAATATGTTATTTTATAATTTAATCAGGTGTTTTTTGTAATAAAACATTAATTTCTTTGGTGGCATAAACTTCAGTGAATTAAGTTATGTTCACAGATACAGAGGCAGTGTGAAAGTAATGTATTACTTATTCATATTCTCTCTTTTTACTTTGTCTTTTTTTTATATAATTATGTACCTATCAAAAACAAAAAATAAAGTTCTGATTCAAATTAATCTCCAAAGGGTTTTTTAAACGTCTCAATAAAATATTAATGTACTGTTGCACGTGTTGTCTTTGCGTGCGTCACAGCGTTAGTTAAATAAATGTAGGTAGAAATAACACCTGGACTAAGTTTACCAAATCATCGCTCTGAATTTAAACATAAGCAATTTTAATAATATTAATTAATATTATACATACAGGTAGGTCCCTACCTACGTTTCGAAGTGACTAACAATATAGGCTAGTTTCCTAAAAAAATTTTTACGTTACGTTTCGAAGTTACTTTCCTGAAGAAAAAATTTAGACCGTCAATTTTATTATCAAAAGATATTGGACACGTATATTTTGAAATGTCAATCAAACAATTAACTATGGTGCGTTGAAGTTCGGCGCGACGCGGTGACGTCACAAAGTGCTACACTTTTAAGCATTCATTGACGTCACGGGCCTTTTCTTTTCAACTATGGCGAGCTTTATCTCTTTAAATTTTCATTAGTTTGAAAAGGTGAAAAATACGTGTCGAATATTTTTTAATAAGTTAACTAACTGACTAATTAAAACTCTTGCCTTTTTTACCCAGGAAACATCTCTATTTGCGTTTCAGATCCTGTATGCAGCAATATTGAATACCTAGACAAGTGTCCTGTGGACTGCGCTAAGGACTATTGTCCAACGAGCGAAGAAGAATCCAAGCAGGGCTGTCCACCCAGCCCCGACCCCTGCCCCGCGCCCGTCTGCAAGTGCGGCTTCAACCACCGCTACGCCAGCCGCGACAATAAGACTTGCATTCCTACTAGAAATTGCCGTAAGTAAAACTTGTCTACACTGAGAGTTTGGTTACACATAGGCTGGGTTGTACCTGTTAACTCCATATAAAAAACATCGGTTATCGTGAAAGTTACGGTCAAAGTTAGATGGTGCAACTCAGCCTTAGAATTCCAACTTAAGATTTTGTTGTAAAATTATTACTTTTAAATGACACAATCTCAGATCATAGAAGGGAATAGATGTGAAACGGGGGCGTGGCGCGTGTCTCCGCGATATGCCCAGAAACGAACATCGCCCGCGACGCCAGGTTAGTCGCGATTCAGTCGTACTGAGGAAATGTTCTCCGATATTGTTGGATAATGCGTCGTAACGTGCAATAACATAAGTGAAACGAAGAACTACAGGAACAATGAAGTCATTTACCACATGTAAGTATTGCAAATCCATTGGTATTTTGCTTATAAATAAAAAAAACTAAACATTTTTACGAACGAATTCAGTGCCGTGACATTTACTGCGATATCGAAATTAGTGGTGATAAAAATTCAAACACGTTGTACATTGACGATTTAGTTAGCAACCACTTTATGTCATGCGTAACTACTGCGCAATGTATTTTATTTCTTCCGATATCCACTGACGCGTGAAAATACACAGTACGGCCGCATGTGCCGGTCGTAACATAGTGCAGGGAACTTTGTCAGTCTTTAACTTCTATACTCCATCGATAACGACATTGAGCTTTGGTTGGGGTAAATTAATATAAGGTAACTTCATTTAGTCCCATTAATTGATTCTGAGTTTTTCGTCCATACAAAATGGAACTGACTCCTTTGTGCAAAAATCGTTAAAGAACATAATAATAACGTATAATAATAAAAAGGTTTTCATACAAGCATTTTTTAAACCAATTTCGAGCCTTGCCCCCCGGATTTAAAGTATCGATATCTTATCGACTCCATTTTATCTTTCTTCTCTCTAATTGCTTTTTTCAAAGTGTGCGTCACGTCACGCGGCCATTGATTGGCCATAAGGCACGCCTTCTGGCCAATCACAGCACTTTTAAGCCGGTTGCACATGTTGTCGTAGACTCTCAGTCGCCTTGTTTTTACACAGTTGAATGTGTGTGTGGGAGCTGTGGTGGGGGAAATGTGGGGACACTGGTTCTCGTTGTAGTTACGCGCGACTTCATATCTATTCTCTTTCTATGATCTGAGGACACAATGAAAGCTATCGCATATCATCATATTAGTTGGTCCAACTGTAGGTTGAGCCTCGATTGCGGTAATTTGTAATGTTTCTAATTCATTCGCGCTTCCTTTATCTATATTCGCGTTCCAGTTGCATTCCAGTTGATGCTCAATTGTTCACGCAAGACTCACCAGTGGCGCCAACTAGTGAGACCTTCATTGCACCAACATAATTCGCAGGTTTAACCCGTCCCTACAATAATAAAGGACTCAAATACATAATATTCAGCTTAGAATCAATACTACCGCAAAGGTAGCGGGTAGGCGCTGGATGCTGCAGGCCGCTGTCAACCGGTCATTGTGGAAGTCATTGCGGGAGGCCCTATGTTCAGCAGTGGAGGTCCTATTGCTGAAATGAAGATGGATGAATAATTAACCTCTGTTTATGACCGAGAAAATCTTAGCTCTTCAATTCATTCAAAAATCATTCTTTACTCGACAGCTCCCTTTGAATGCAACCGACCCTTCGAAGAATACGCTTCGTGTCCCCCTATGTGCCCAAACGGCAGCTGCCAACAGGCGACCCCTGACGGGAAATGCCCTCCGCTGCTGGGTAGAATCGGCATCATACTGATATGCAACCCACAGTGCCGCTGCATCAAAAACTACTGGAGACAGGATGGTGTTTGCATACCTTATGCCGAATGTCGTAAGTTGTATTTTTGTAGATCCGTAGTTGATATAGGCCCAGGATGTGCGCCGCGATAAGCTTTTATCGCGCTTTTCTGTTGATTTAAAGAAAAAGCCCATACATTTTGTCGTCTAAAATCATCGATAAGATTTTATCACGGCGCGCATTTTAGTCTGGAAAGTCATTAAGTAAATGTAAGCCTAGGCGCAGACCATTGATTTTTCGTCGGCCGATAGTTTAGTCAGGCAGTTAATCAGTATGGGCATGTACAGAAGTGCGCACATTACACCGATTTGGTATCGGCCGATTCTTCATAAAAAATAAAATCGGGCCCAAGTATCAGCCAACTGAAAATCGGTGATCTGCGTCTAGGCTAAATGTGAAACAGTTTGGTAGTCAAAGATCTGGGACACATGAAAAATTACACTTTTTGTGGAGAGACTAGATTGTAAAAGAACCGGAGACATTGATAATGATGACAGAATTAAATACAAAAGTTTGATGGAGCAGATATTAAAAAGTAGTTAAATAGGATATAAGTAGGTATAATATCATAAAACATTTTTTTCAGCTCAAAACAAAAATACAACGCCAGCAACTTCAGCGGCAGAAGACCAAGCAAATTCAGAAGACCCACAAAACCCAGTAGACTCAGAAAACCCACAAAACCCAGGAGACTCAGAAAACCCTGAAAACTCAGAAGACCAAAACTGTAGTGGAGAGCAAGATGACACCAATTCCGTGACTGCTACTTTATAGTGGACCCCGGGAGCGATGAAACAGGCTGGTGAGCACTGAGCACGTTCTATAGGGGATGACAACACGATGGCACTTAAAACTTTAAGTCTAGTGCTTAATTCAAGGGGCATTTCACGCGAAGCGGACAGCGAAAATCAAGTCAGGTTTTGGATTTTGTTCATATTTGGATAAAATGTACTGCTATATGACCTGAATGGAAGTGCATCATTATAATTTTTTTATGAAGCTTAGTTTATTTTTTATGAGCGTTCAAAAAATTGGTAAAATTTTAGGAACAGATTTTACAGATTAAAAATAAACTAACGATTGGACTTTTGAGAATAAATAACTGTGTTTCTTACTATTTACTACAAATTTGAAATTTCTTTTTTGTTCACATAGAAAACCGGAAGTAAAGTTTTAAAATCGAATTTTACAAAACTTCGGGATTTTTTTAATTTTAAAATTTTATTTTGAAATATACATAGTAGTCTATAAATAACGTGTGCAAAGTTGTAGAATGGAGTCTGTATTGGTTTTTTATTTAGACGCAGTACAGTGCGCCGCAGTGAGCGTCATACTGGCTATCGACATTTGGCTACCGTATAAAAATTATTTGTTCGAAAATAACTGAAACGTTAATATTGTTGCATGCAAACTCTTAAACAATTATAATTTTGACTCGGCGAACTTTGTACCGCCTAAAAACAATGATTGTTGGCACTCCATCAATCTCCCCATAGCACGCTGTGCAACTTTGAGCTTCTGTATAAGGCCTATAGTAAGAGGCCACGCTTCCGAGCCATAAGTTATCACTGGTAACACACATTGATTGTAGGTCATATAGCAGTACATTTATTCTAAATATGAACAAAATCCAAAACCTGACTTGATTTTCGCTGTCCGCTTCGCGTGAAATGCCCCTCAAGTGAGTGCCTGAGGTATGGGAGCACAGAGGGGTGACAATATGACAGAGCATATAATTATCTGAAGCCTAACTGAAGTCTCACTGACGGTTGACGTTTCAAACACACCCTCCCACCCGTGCCGCTACCATGTATCAAGCACTGACTGAGTCAAAGTACGCTAGACATATAGAAGCTACTATAGCACAATGATGTTGGTGTTGTCAAATCCGAGGAACGCGAGTTCGAACCCTGTCGCTCCTGGACTCTTGTGGTGAACCTACTCGTACAAAAATCATATTTAGGTCACCACAAGCTTTAACGGGATTAGCAATATGTATTTACAAATAAACTGTTAATCTTTAAACCTTTGTTGCCAGATCCAGTTTCCGGTCGCCAGGAAGAACTTAACAGCACCCTGTAGCCGCCTCAGCGAGTGCCCAGAAATTTTCAGTTACAGCTTAAGACCTACTAAGGCTACTAATTCTTAACGTGCCCGAGAACATCAGTCAGTTTTAAATATTATTATGATTTTGGAAATATATTGAAATTATTATAAAGCGGTTTTTTTATTTATTTTTTAAGCAACGAGTTAAACGAAAGATAAGTTGTCACGGCTGATGCTATAGATCAGGGGTGGCCAACCCATTCATCCAGTCGATCGTGGCAAGGCAAAAAATACTATACCTACATGATTGTGTACTATGCTGTTCTATTTAAGATTTCAGGAAGTATGTTAGTGTTAGATCGCCCAGGATTTCGTTAGTAAACAATACTTAGATCTTATGTCGAATCAAGTTGGCCACCCCTGCTATAGATAGTATTACAGCTGCTTATGAGCCTACCTATTGCTTAATCAGAAAAATGCAAGGAAGAAAAAAAAATATCTTCATTAGTATTACAAAAATACCAATGGCGTAAATTGCATTCAAGTTAGCCAAGTCCAACCTCAGATTTTGTTGCAAAAATAATAAGAAACCGTGAACTTTTAAATGACTCTCATTGCAATTGAACCTTATACGCTTTGATAAGTCTTCTTTAAGGCTGAGTTGCACCACCTTATTTTAACTGTAACTCTAACAATAACCGGTGTTTTTGAATGGAGTTTGATAGACTTTTGACGTTTGATAAAGTTAAAAAAAGATGGTTACGTGCAACCATTTTACGATGTGACAGTTTTTCCAGTCCGTTTATCTTTTTCAAATGATACAAGTCACACTTACTTCTTTTGTTGTGGGGCTAACGCTTTGTATAAGTAAATTACCTGCAACGTCCATCGACAGTAAGTATTTATACAATACATTGTGCGTTTTTTCCGCATACCGGCACAGAGCACTGGCCAGTCAACATGCGTACTTTTTTCGTGATCTCCTGTCTAATCGTGGTGTGTTCAGCACAGACTGGTAAGTACGAGTGTTAATTAATTAATAGGTACTAATTTAAAATTCAAGTTTATCAAGAATTTAAAGTTGCGTTTTGTCAACTTCCGATAATTTTCTATAACTTTCATTATCAAAACTATTTCCTATCAAAATTGTCTATAGTGTCTATTTATTTATCTAGTTTATTCAGAAGCTAACTAATTACATTTTTAGACTTGATAAAGTTACTTTTTTATTTTGTTCTAAATAAACTCATCTTACCTACCTACTTACTCGTTTAAATTAAAATGCATTGCTGTTAGTTTGCTCGAGAAAGACTGATTTTAGTTTTGCAATGTTTGTGTACCTAGTTTGTTTTTAAAATAAGTAAAAGTTTTTATAATGTTAAAGAATTTATGGAGGAAAAACATAGTATTTCATGTTAAGTTGGTAAATAAATATTGTTTTAACTGTAATGATTATACATTATACTATTTTTAAGTTACTTGCAAATTGCAATTGTATGATATATTTATAAAATTTATAAGTAGGTAGACATTAGATTTATAATAATTGTTAATAATATTTAATAATTGTTATTTGTATTGCTGTACCCAACCGGGTGTGCATTTGTATGTTAGTACCTAGTACCTAACAATATACAATGTATCTATTATGTGCAATAAATAAATAAATAAATAAATAAATAAGAAAAAATAAGGCGGCACAAAGTTCGAAGTTCGCCGATTAAGGTAGTTCAAAATAAAATTACCTAGCCTTCGAATTTGACTATAAATGATGTTATTTTAACCGACGCTAATATTTTTTTATAAACTTAGAACAGCTGTTTTTGTGCGTAGTAAACAAGGAAAACAATTGGCGAAACCTCACATCCGCACCTAACAAATTGTCCGCGATAAGAACCAGTAGAACCGGGCCTGGGGGCATACCCTCAAGTTTAAAGCTACGAGGATGACATCATAATCAATACATTTTAATTAACACTCACTGTTGCTGTTTGGTTCTTCGATTTATTGTCAGTTTTTATCTCGTGTCACACCATCAAAACACTATTTTTATTAGCTTTAAAATTATGTTCCACACCAGTGATGGAAGGGGGCTGGTTCCAGACCAGCCCCCTTCCATCTGTGGCTGTTAGGCGTGGAATCTGAATGGAATAAAATACTTTGCACGAAAACTGTACTTTAAACTTTAACTATTATTTGTTATTGTCGGCCGTTTGGTGTAGTGGTTCGAAACGGACTACTATTCCGGAGGTAGCGGGTTCGATTCCCGCACAGTACAAACATTTGTGTGCATGAACATATTTGTTTGTATTGGACTGGGTGTTTTCTATGTATATTAAGTATGTATTTACAAAAAAAAAGTATTTAAGTATGTTTATATCCGTTGTCTAGTACCCATAGTACAAGCTTTGCTTAGTTTGGGACTAGAAGCGCAGTGTAAAATGTCCAAGGATATTTATTTCTCAACAAAAATGTGAAGTTCAATGTACTGGCTTATAGGTCAAGAAAATATGGCACTATAATGGGTTATGGATATTACAGATAAATTACAATGTGGGACCCACGAAGTGGAGGCGTGCGTCAAAGACTGTCCACCGGAGAGGACTTGCAGGAACCGGGGCATTAAGTTCAACTGCTTAAATGACGATAGCCCGTGCACTCCCAAATGCATCTGTGCCAAGGGATTCTATAGGAATGCTATTGGAACCTGCATTACTGGGGAGGAATGTGGTAAGTAAATTAGACTGTATCTTTTAACTTCTTCATCTCTATCACTTTAAGTCTGCCACGATAGCCGAATGGTGAAAAGGAGTCGTCCAGTGACTTGGCCCACTTTAAGCTTGGTCCACGGGCCAAGTCGCTGGATTGAATCTTTAAATATTTTTTCATCCAGTACTTAACTGGACCCACTCTAACACTCGAAGATTCTACAGTGTTTTTTACCCGACTGCGCCAGGAGGGTTATGATTTTGTTGATTTTTTTTATGGGCCCAGTTATGGAAGAAAAAATATATAAAAATTAAATCCTACTTGGCCCGTGGACCAAGCTGAAAGTAAGTAGGCCAAGTCACTGGAAGACTCGTGAAGGGGTCGGACTGGCCGACTCGCCATCCGAGGAACGCGGGTAAGCGGGTTTGATGAACCTCGCTGAGGCTGACATTCGACTATTGTGGTGAGCCGTGCGTGAGCCCATACGTGACAAGCATTTTAGCTTAGTACACGGGGCTAACGGGACTCTTAGTAGGTACCTAATTTGTGCAAAATTATAAAATATTATGTATGTAGGTACCTATATTTCTTTTTTACTTAAAAATATTAGCATTTAGCATTAACCGAACCCGCCACGTTTCCCGGATCACGAATCAGCAGTCCGACCCTTTCACCGTTCGGCTATCGTGGCTTCTTTAAAAATAATTTATGTTTCTAATAAAACAAGTAAGTGTTATTAGAAACATAGTAACAGTAATAGTAACATGTAATAATACTTAAGTATTTTAATATTAATTTACTTCCACCATTTACAGACAAATGCCAAGGCAAGAACGAGTTTTATGCCTGCGACAGCGCATGCGACAATGTCTGCGCCGACATCGCCACCCAGAATCGGACCAAATGCCCCATACTGAACATCAAGTGCAACGAATGGTGCTACTGCGATGATGGGTACGCGAGAGACGCAAACGGAAACTGCGTGCCTGTTAGTGAATGTCGTAAGTATTTTTTGTCATTTGGCTGCCATAAAATTAGGCTAAAAGCTAATAAGGTTTTCCACATCGCACGGTTGGTACCTACTTGGTAGCGACCTGCACAGTAGCGGCGTAAGGGGGGGGCGGTGGTGGCGGTCCGCCCCGGGTGCCAAGCATCAGGGGGTAACAACTCAGTCGCGCAGATAGTACCCACTGGGGGGGGGNAGTGCGATTGGTACAGGCTCATGACGTAGGTTTTGACATCCATCTGTCGTCTCATCAAAAAAAATCATCATGGGGGGCGTCAGACCATTCTGGGGTGCCCTGGCCCCCCGCTATAATGTATACCCCTTATGAACTGAGGGGGGAGAGGTGCCGCCCCGGGTGCCAACCCATGCTACGCCGCCACTAGACCTGCATCCAGCGCCATCCTGCTATTATCAGGTCGTCGTTACCAACCGTGCGATGTGGAAGTCATTGGGGGAGTAATAAGTTTTTCATAGCATTAATTTCGCCTTTTGTATTCTGAGAGGATAATAATAATAAAGTACGTGCGTAACAGCGTTGCCAGTTTTTTTTTTCGCCAAGTCGGGACTTTGGTACTTTTTGAGTGAAAATAGCGGGATTCTTCCGTCAAAAGCGGGACATAGTAAAAAAAGTATACAATCAAAGGTTTTCAAACATTTTTCTTTTTATTTGACTTAAAATTACGTTTACGTGACAATAGATAGCAAAAGTAGCCATAGAAAATGTATTTTAACAAAAAAATAATATTTTAAATCAGATTAACTCTATCGTTAAATTCATCTTTAGAATAAAAAAGGAAAAAATAAACCAAAATCGAAATAAAAAAAAAATATTTAGAATAATATGGCGTTTCAAACAATAGTCTGGTGAAGTGAGTGTCTCTCTCCGAAAAGCGGGACCGAGCCTGTCCCGCGCGGGACATATAAATTTTATTTAAAAATCGGGACGTCCCGCCAAAATCGGGTCGTCTGGCAAAGCTGGTGCGTAATGTCTGTCCAGCGTGGGAAGTGTAGGCTAAATCCTTCATCTGCCTAAGTAAATCCTCCATTTAGTAAATTAGAAATATATTTTTTATTGTTTTACTTTCAGCGAAGCCAGCTGCCACTTCTGGAAGATACGCTAGAGCAGGTAAGAAAAGCGTTTAACTGGTTTAACTTCATTATTTAATACTAATTAAGTAATTATCACGGCATGACAATACATGAGTAAGGAATATGGCACATTCAATCTGCTTTTTATCTGGTAGTGAAAATAATATTTTAGAATAATCACGCTAAACAACCCTTCCCTTTCTACCTTGATAACAACTAGCGCCCTCTGGTATCATTTGGGTCCTTCAAACCTGTCTTCAGTGTGGCGCGAATTTTCACAACTTTTAATTTTGTTAAAAAGTATCTAAAACAATTTTATTAAAAGAGCGATAACTATAAGTTTGTTTTGTGTTGTAAAATACTTGCGACAGAGAATACCTAACATAAGTACCGTGGCTGGAAGATCCTCACTACAAAAAGTTTGCAATTTCTTTGTTCTTGTGCTATTTACTTATTTAACAACTCTCGTAAGTACTCTGTATGATAAACTGTGGCGCATGTAACTTTTATTACCAATCTAATCAATTTTATTGCTCACTTTTGCTGGCGTGACTGCAATAACACATTAAAATTAAAACCATACTTTGGTGCTATATTCTGTATTTTTATTGACAGGTCCCAGGTGTGGGCCCAACGAACACTTCACATGTCGGCTTCCCTGTCCTCCCGAGTAGGGCATGAATATCGGAATCTCGGAATCTCGTAATATCGGAATCTCGGACTGCGAGATCCGATATTTCAATTCCGATATTGAGCGACCCAATATCGTAATATCGGAATCAGATAAAAGTTTTAATTGAGATCTTAAATAAATCGTTTAAACTCGCCACAACCTGCCACAAAGCCCAAAGTACATGATTGGCAAAGACCAATGATTTTCTCATGTCTCTCACCATCACTTTTTATTCCACTGCAAATATTTTAATATCTTTACTATTTATGGTTAATTTAACTTGACCTAAATCAATTTTAGCATTTGCCATAGGTATTTGGTCAACAAAGAACGACATCTCAACTCCCTTTCAAACATTAATTTTACTGGACATGGACCGTCAGTTCTGCGTACTATGTGCCTTGCCCATTGCCACTTCAGCTTGCTAATCCGTCGGGCTATGTCAGCGATCTTAGTTAGTTTACGGAGCTCCTCATTTCTGATTAGATCTCGTAAAGAAACACCAAGCTTATCCCTCTCCATAGCACGTTGTGCCCTATATTCAAAGGCCACGTTTTCGAGCCGTATATCATCACTGGTAACACACACTAATTGAAGACTTTCGTCTTCGTATTCGACGATTTACCTCTTTCTCGAAATTGCATCTAACTACCTAGCTGATCGTTTGTCCGAGATAGACATACTTACTTGTCAACAATCTCGAGAATCGAGCTCCTAACCGAAACTGGGTAAGGAGTAACATGGACATTCGACATAAGCTTCGTTTTTTCAAGCATATTCAAGTTTTTTACCGCTCTCTACAATTTTTGTAACACGTGATTTGAATGACTCTAAAATTCGTTCCGCCAACATAAAACAGGGTAATATAATGAAGGAGTAAAAAAGTTTGTTTGATACCTGTGATTTTACACAAACACTTTAATTATTTGCTAGTCCATATTGGCTCATTATCAGTAACCATTCATTATCAGGTGATCCGTCTGCTCGTTTGCCTCTTGTCACATAAAAAAACAGATGCAATGGATACCCATAACGTAAAAATGGTTTTAAAATACTTCAATTTTATGAAATGTTGTTTGTACCAAATTAAAGATTTTGATTAAAATCATTATTTTATTGTAAACAATCCAGAATTCTTACGAATATAACCAAATATTAACATTATAGCACATGAACTCAATTCCGATATTAATATCGGAATTCCGATATTGAGATCTAATATCGGAATCCAATATCGGAATTGAAAACCTTCCGATATTACATGCCCTACTCCCGAGACTTGCATCTCATTGGTTGCGAAATTCCGGTGTGACGGCCAGCAGAAATGTAGACCTCAGTGTGCCTGCAAGTCTGGCTTCTTGAGAAAGGAGGAAGGGTCGCCCTGTGTGCCGATCTGCGAATGCCCCGAGATGGCCAGCTCTGCAGATTGCCAAAGATCATAATAGGGTAATTGCGCCGGTTTTCCGTCCAGCTCCTGTTTTCGTCCATTTGACCGACTTGCCACAAACAAATACGGAAAATTAGAATACAAACCTAACTTTTCGTGCAAGTTTGGACTTGTTACAATCTATAATATCTAAGTAACAGTTCTGCCTGCATGAAAATGTAATTTGACAAGTAATAATTCCAAAAAAATCTACGGAAGTTGCTGCTGCACACAGGTGAATGGAAAACGTCGTCAAGTTAGAAAAAAACGTGCCGGTCGGGAACTTTCATGATATGTTTAATTACTGTTTTAGCTACTTTAACGTAATTTTTTTGGCACGTATGTCTTATTATTAGCATAATAAACACTATTTTAAGGGTTTATTAAAGTTTTTGTATAGAAATGTTAGATAATTAAGTGGACTAATACTAGCATAACAATTTTGCAAGATTTTGGTTTTCGTCCACGTGGACGAAAACCCTGACACCTAGTTAATATTTTTAATAATCATTTTACTTCAATGGACCTACAAATTACAATGTTTTTTCTTCCAATATGATCTTTATTGCTATTACATTAAACATTTTAGTTTACGTCCACTTTTTAACAGTGATAAACCCATAAAAACCGTTAAAAAGATGTGGACGAAAACGAAAAACAGCTTTAAACGTTGTTGTGTTTTCGTCCATGACGTCATGAGCAAGCACTGGGGTGGACGAAAACCAAAATTATCTGTTCCTGTAGATTAGTTTTCGTCCATTTGTCCTTCGACCTATTGCAATATTTTCCTAAATTTAGGTAATAAACTTATTTAAATCTTTTTGATATCATTTGAAAGCTAACAAAATTACCTTTCAAATGATATACCACAATCCATAGTTACTGTATTGTAGAATTGGTTTTAAGTTAATAATTCAACTGCACCCTTTTTTCTACACAGTGGTCGAAAACTAGCGTACACTAGGACGAAAACTGATTTTTTTGGACGAAAACTAGTGAAATCGCCTCTTTTGCATAAAATATTTTTTATAAAAAAACCCGTGGTATTTACTTATTGTCATATAATATTAACGTAAAGTAGACTATATAAGGACTAAAATGACATATGAAACATATGAGTAAGGGTATTTTAAGATACTCATTTCGCATCACAAAGTTGGCAACTCCGATAATTGGACGAAAACTAGCGCACTTACCCTATATAGCCACTTTTAAGTCATAATGTAATCCAAAGAACAAAATTACCTAATTAAATGCACAGTTATAATTGAATCGGACTTTTATTTAAAATATATCCTTGGTTCTAGCCGTAAAACAGTATTTTACAACTTGGGTGAAAAAAGTGGAATTTTTAGTGTCCTCATTTCACCTCCACGGAACCATTTACCCCAGGTGAATCGATTCGACTAAGTATTCCCCTTTGTTCAGCTATAAATTAATTCACCCAGGTATTCGCATCTGTTCACCAGGGTGAATTAATTCCTAACTCAATTCACCTGGAAAATGAAGTTGGGTGAAATGGTTCAGAGGTGAAATGAGGACACTAAAAATTCCACTTTCTTCACCCAGGTGAACAAAGTGGTGGGTGAACATAATCCAGAGATACGATTGTTCAACTAATCCATATTCGCCACACATAGACACACTTTGGTTGGATGGACCACATGGACCATGGACCACTGGTACCTATTACTAAACCACACAACCTAAAACTTTTTTCTCTACTGAATTCTCTTCGTTACAGGCCCACAATGCTCTGACCCAAATGAAGTTCACACGTGTGCAAAGAGCTGTCCTCCAGAGACCTGTATGTCTCTCGTGGCAAAATTCAAATGCGACGGCAACGAAGTCTGTCAAGAACGCTGCACCTGCAAACCAGGTTATTTGAGGCTCGAACCAGGATCACCCTGTATACCGCAGTGTGAATGCCCTGAGTTGGCAAACTCGCCCGATTGTTAAAACTTAAAACCATGAGCTGAAATACAAAATAAATGATTTGAAACAGTTTAACTGTTTATTGATTTCTTTACCCTATTTTACCTCACTATAAAAAAATAGGCTGTAAGTGTGGCTGAGCTGAACTTGTAATTCACGTGACATTCATAAAAAAATTAATGTAGCTAATGTAATCGCAATTTTATTGTCATAATAATTGGGTTACCAAGTACCACGTGGTGGATTCTCGCCCAGCTACGTTTTCAACCATATTAATTACAATTTACAGTCATTTACATAATAAATAATAACTAAATATTAAATTATAGCTTAAAAATATCCTTAGCTATGTACTTTCCAGAGTGGCTATGTGATAATACTTTTTATCTTCTTCTGTTATTGGATTGGGGGCCCCAGATAAAGGATCTTTTCCTTCATGAGACTTAGGAAACGCTATCACATCTCTTATTGACTCAGCATCACATGCGACTGAGACTAGGCGATCTATTCCTATTGCCAACCCACCGTGTGGCGGACAGCCACTCTTCAAAGCATTCAGAAAATGTGATAAGCTCTCCGGGTTTATATTTAACATTCTCAGTATCTTCTCCTGCAGTTCAACGTTATGTATACGGACTGATCCACCTCCGATTTCATTGCCGTTCATAACAATGTCATAAGCTAGTGACCTTACTTTGTAAGGTTGAGTATCTAATAAATGAATGTCGTCTGGATGAGGAGCAGTAAATGGGTGATGACAGGTTTCCAAACCATGTTCTCCTTTTTCAAATAGCGGGAAGTCCACAACCCATAAGGGACATACATTCTTTTCAACTTCTAGTAAATTTTTAGACAAAAGCAGTGTTGCCAACATTTCTCTTATTTCACCTAAGCATAGACATGCATTCCGATTATCTCCCATAGAAATTATACATGAATTCTCGTTTTGCAACTGTAATTTTTCAGTAAATTCAGTACCAAATTCAATAGACATTTTTTCATTTAAAACTACTTTCACTTGGTATTTTTCGTTCAATTTCTTGATTGCATTTTTTGTTGTAGTCGTTAGTTTCCCTAACTTTCTGGAATATGGTAAAGCATATGCTCCAAAATCATCATTCGATGATTTTTCATTAAATAAATGCTTTATATTTACAAACTTCAAGTCATAAGTTAAATTAGGTTTATCTGTACCATAATTTTGTAAAGCATATTCATAAGTCATCCTCCTAAATGGGGGTTTTGGGAGATCTTTGAGAAACGTTTCATAAAGTAAGTTTTCTATTAAACTGATAACTCCTTCTCGGTCCGTAAAAGACATTTCAATATCAAGCTGTGTAAATTCTGGCTGTCGGTCAGGTCGTGTAGTTTCATCACGGTAACATCTGGCGATCTGAAAGTATCTGTCAATGCCTCCAACCATTAACATCTGTTTGAACTGTTGTGGACTCTGGACTAACGAGTAGAATAATCCGGAATGATGTGTAGGCACTACGAACTCCCTTGCACCACCAGGGGTTCGGCAAAACAATGTAGGTGTTTCCACTTCCACAAAGGCATGGTTTTCAACAAGAAATTTTCTAATATTGTGCAGCATTTGTGATCGCTTCCTCAAGTTGCTTTGCATTTCTGGAAACCGTAGATCAATGTACCGATGTTGTAATCTGAGCTGCTCTTTGGGTTTTTGATAATTTCGCAAATTGAATGGAAGTTTATCATTTGTATTTAGTATTTCCAAATTGTCAATAACAACTTCAACTTCTCCAGTAGCCATGTTAGTATTGATTGTGTCTTTGGGTCGTAATTGTAGAATTCCTTCTATTTTCACCACTGTCTCCAAGGGAGTATCAGGTAGAGAGTTATGGTCACTCACTACGCACTGTGTGATACCGTAAGAGTCCCGTAACAGTATGAATTTCGATAACCTATAATATTGTACCCAGCCACATAAAGTGACTTTTTGTCCAGCATTTGAGGGTCGCAGTTCTCCACAGTTGTGCGTCCTGAACGTAAAAGTGTTGCAGTTTGGTTCACAATCATGATTCTGGATACGAATTTCTTTTTGTTCATGTAAGCTTCTGGTTAGATATAAAGTCTGAACTTTTGAGGTTAGGTTCCGATATTGACAATAACTTGCTGCTGGGACCTTCCATCGGACTGTTGTACCATTCAGTACAGGTTTGTATAATGTTGGAATATTTGATATTGAATAGGCTTGCCGCAAAATTGTTTTATTTAGTTTCCACATTCTTGCACCGATATCGCTGTAAATTCTACTCAATACTATGATCATTGAGTATTTGAGAACGATGTCGAGTACTTCGTTTCGCTCTTTAAATTATTACAAATTATTCATACCATATCACCATTATTCCTTTGTAATTTTTAAAATTAAATATTTGTTTACAATCAGCACAGAAAACAGCCAACTGACAGCCATTCTGACATTGACGTTTAATTTTTTTTTAATGTTTCACGGCCTTGGATCTTAAACATTTTAGACCAAAACATGTCGCTACGGTAACGTAACGTTTTCAAGCGTTACCCAAGCGGTCATCTTTTTCAACCGACTTCAAAAAAAGGAGTAGGTTCTCAGTGTGTTTTTTGTAAGTTATGTTACCGCAGAACTATGTCAATTATGAACTGATTTATATTTTTTTTTAGGGTATACCTCAGATCATAGGCTAGTTTTAGTGTCACGCAGACTGTCAGTGTGGATCGCTCCGCACAGCCGATTTGTATGAACTGCTAGGGAGCGGAGCGGTTCCTCCGGACCGCATTTCCCTAGAAGTTCATATACATTGGCCGTGCGGAGCGGGTCCGCACCGGACGGTCCGCGTGGCACTAAAACCAGCCATAGAACGATCCGAGGGGTATACCTACTCCTGAGGTTGACACCAAGTCAGGGTCTGATAATGGGATCCTAGGGAAATCGAGGGCAATCCTCGACTTTTTAGGTTGCCGATATAGTAACCTGCATTTTGTAGGGAATTATTTTACACTTCATGAACAATAATTATTATAGTCTCATGTACTAGCCCACCTTCAGTGGAAACAACATCAAGGTAATAAATTAGTAACTAAAAAGCAAGAAATAGAAATAATTATTATCCATCATCAGAAGCGTCCACACCACATGCCGCTGCGGTAAACGGTGTCCGTCAGAATGGACGGACGGTCAGTACCCATATTTTAAATCGAAACAAATATTGAAAGTTTGAGCAAATCCGCAATCAAACAGACAAACATATTCTTAAAGTAGGCGCCAATATGCTCATTTAATTCTGTAGGCGTTGAGATAATGAAATGGTTAAATACATAGGTAATGACTTTTTAGCCTTGGAAGCTATGAGCAGGTACATGAAGGTAGCAGTTAGTAGCAACTGTTGACAAACTTTTAACTAGCGCATTTGGTTCTCGCTGGATAGGTGACCAGCCATTCTGATGCTAGGATAGGTAGTGACCGTCCATTCTGAAGCACACGGGAGCAGCGGTGGTGGCAGAATCATCGGCCCTCGAAACAGCTCCGCGTTGCTCACACGTCGTCGCCCCCTGCTGCCCGCGAAATTAGAGGCCTTATTCTGGTACCTACTTTGCAACAAGAATGAGTAGTATTTGCTGTCGACTAGACATACCTGCCTAAAAGGTTTTCATTCATACAGGGTGTCCCAGAATGGGCGAGTCGAACTGCTAGGGGAGGTAGCTCTACTAATGTATAGTACCCTAAAAATATCTACCTCCCCCTATCAGTTTGATTCATCCATTCTGAGACACCATTTGTCTATTTCCCTACTAGGTTATTTAATTAAAATAAAATTGTGTATTCCGCAAAATATCATTTATTGTTCTTCAAAGTTACAGTCTCACATCTTAACAAAAAACAAACAAAACAGTGCATTCTCTCTGAATATACCATGTATAAGCACAAGGAAGCACTGCAATGGCAGCTTTACATTAGTAAATAACGCCGTTACTAAAAAAATTCAAAAATAAAGAAAATCAACAATTAAATTACTCTAAAATTAACAATTAAATATTTAACCAAGTAATTGGTTTAGACCAGAATCAAGTTTCGATTATTTGTCAATGGAAAACTGCGATTGCGCGTCTTTTAGAGGAATGGTCAAAAATATAAACTATTTGAACACAAGAGGTAACATACTTAGTCAAAGTAGGCACTTTTTATCTTAAACCTAATAAAACTATATTAGAGTCAACATTAGTCTATCATAAGAGGCAACAACAATAAAAATGCTTGATGAATGAAAAAGTCTACGCTAAAAAACTTAGAACTTCGAAACAAAAATACAATGTCCATAATTGTACCGTTGTTTCTGCTCCATTTTTTCACATACAACGAACGAAACGTAGCCTTATTTACCATAAATAGAGCATACATTTCAATAAAACTTACTCGGAATTAAAGTTAGCTTATTCATACGGTTCGCCAGATCGCTGGGACTGGCATGGGTGGTTGGCGGTAGAGGTATTCGTAGGGGAGAGGCACGCAGCTCGGCACTGGCGGCAGGAGAGACGGGTACATGGGCGGCACCGGCGCCGGTGTCGAGCGTTGGATGAGGTCAGCACGGAGAAGCTGGAAAAATAGAAAAGGATTTTAAACTTTATTGCATAGGAAATAAGGTACTAAAGGTGAACAGCTAGGTTCTTTAATTTTTAGCGTTAAGAGTCGCATCTCAAACTAATTTGAAAATTATAAATATCTTGAAAAAATCGAACTGCCTAAGGCGGGAATTGAACCCACGACCTTTCGCTTCCCGGGCGACTGCTCTTCCAACTCTACTACTACTCTGTAGGGTAGGTATACTTAACAATTGATGAAACAAACGCTGACCGTAACAGTGTATTACACTTGAAAATTTCGACGAGTTCATCCAGTGTCTAAGTAGCTCAGTTGGAAGAGCAGTCGCCCGGCAAGCGGACGGTCGTGGGTTCAATTCCCGCCTTAGGCAGTTCGATTTTTTCAAGATATTTATAATTTTCAAGCTAGGTTCTTATTAGACGTCGAAAGATTTGAGGGTAGACAAAAAATTTTTACTAAATAAGAAAATTGGCTTATTCCACTATTCCCCGTTGACAATCCCGTCAACGGGGAAAAGTGGAATAAGCCAGAAAATTAAATACAAAATAATTACATACTCCGACCGACTTAAAAACGATTGATTTATTATTTTACTTTTTTGCGACTGGAAAAAAAGCACCAATTGCATACCCAATGGCCTGGGGGATCAATGGATTATGTGGCATCCCTGCCAGAAGGGCAGCTGTGATATGGATAAGATCCAGGCTTTGTACCAGTAACAAAGCTGCCAATAAACTAGTAAAATAGTATAATGAAACTAGTATTTACCTTAATCTGATGCAAGGCATTTTCAGCTGCTTCCACATGGGCTTGCTGCACAGAGAAGCAGGATCGCGTTGTCAGCGGGCCAATGCTTTGAGGGGTGTTCAGCAACGGCAGCCCCACTTGTGGCAGCTCCACTCTTCCAACCCAAACCTCTGCACCAGTTGGGTCTACATACTTCTGGTATTCATATCTGGGTGGAGACCACATGTACCTGAAAAGAAAAAGTTTTAGTCAATGAGGGTAGATATTGCTGTGCAGCATATTTTTTAATGTGTTTAGAAGGAAAATTGCTTTAATTTCAACAAAATCCATGGCATATTACTAGAATAAAAAACTGCTATAGCATGTTAATGAACTAACTGAAGTGTTTGAAACTTGGTCTATTTATCTTAAATTCTAGAAATGAGGGTAGACAAAAATTTAAAAATATTATCAAACTAACCTTTTACACATAGCATCCAACTTTGCAGGAGCCAAGGGAAAGTTTTCCTTCTGCGGAGATGTGTGGTACATTAAGTTATAGGGCTTTATGTCTATAGGAGAGCCACACGATGAGTCACCAGCGCCCACTGATCCGATTCCTTCGTCCTCTTTGCTTGGTGAATTCGCATATTCCTTCTTCTCTAAGTGCTGTTTGTAAAGCAAAAGTGTCTGTGTAAAGTCTAGGCTATTGTTGAATTTCGCATTGCCACGGTTCAATTTCTGTATACGATACAAGTCACGGTCAACTGGCTTGGCCCATCTGATCTCAATATTGCTGCCATCGATTTCGGCATTTTGCAATCTTGATAATGCCAGCTCAGCATGCTCTCGCTCATAGAAATGGATAAACGCATAGTCATAGATCTTTTTAACTCGCTCAATTTTGTTCTGAATAGCATTTTCAAATACAGTTTGAATAGTTTCAGGGGTGGTTCTAATCAAGAAGTTCCTTACATAGAGCACTTTTACCTGTAATAGAAAGAATAAATTTTACCTATATTGTAATTTAAAACTACACAGGTGGGCATGCTTTATGAAAGGACAACTGAATGTAAACTGTAAGAGGACACTATACACAAATAACAGCTGAGCATCAAGTACAAATTAAACTTTGGTACAAACATCACAGACTACATTTGTTGTAAAATGGCTCTTATTACAACTTCATTAAGGTCACAGTGATTTTATGTTGTGATATCTGTACCTACTTGGTAACTAACTTCGCAAAGCAGAGGAAAGTAAATTCGCGACAGTTTAAGGAATAATCACAATTAAAAATACTACATACCTTTTTCATTTGCTCGTCATCAATGTCTGGCTCCGGCTCTGCCCAGTCCACCATCACCTCTTGATCCCAGATCTTTACGCAGCCAGGAATAAGCGCGCGCCTCGCCATCGCAGCGGCGCGGTGCGACGTGAATTCTACAAAGGCGAAGCCCCGATTCAGCCTTCTATCGAAGCAGTTCTTGTAGAGAATCACATCGACGATCCCGGCGACGCGCTTCGACAACTCTTCAAGCACCTCCTCTTTGGTCTTCGTCTTCGGGATACCCCCAACGAACAGCCGGCAGTTGTCCACAGATTTCACCACCCCAATATGCCTGCCGGCCCTGATCTCGTACCCGTTCAGCTCCTTAACAGCTTTGAAGGCGTCAACCCGGTTGGTGTAAGTCACAAACGCGTATCCTCGGTTAGACCCGGAGAAGTCCATCATCAGACGCATCTCGTATATCTTGCCGACCTTTGAGAAGATAGGGACGAGCTCGTCTTCGAAGATTTCTCGGGGAAGCTTGCCGACGAAGACTTCGCAACCTTTCTGTGGGGGAGACCCAACCCAGTCCGGCGGTGGGCCATACTTCCTTTGGCCATTGTGCTGCACTATGGGGTACCCTGTCTTCTGCATCAGGTCCAGGAGTTTGTACGTCATATCGTTCTTGTCCATGTTTGATTTGATCAAAATAATCAGCGCGTAGCACTTTCCGTTGAGAGCGATCGGCGAAATGCGGCGTTTTCAAAGTGGCGGCTCCCTTTATACTTTTGCCGACAAACAGGCGCCGGCGGCGGTTGTGACGTCAAGGCGAGCGAAAATCATGGCGGAAGCTCGGTTACGATTTCGTTCCTTTTTTAAATCTTATTGTTTTGTAAATGATTAATTGCAAATATATTATTGCTTAATATTACTGTGTATTATTTTGTTTTTATTACTTTGTTAGTATTCAAAAATTAAGGTGACCTTTTAACGTAGGTATTAAAGAAACTGAAAATTGACTTGGATGGCACCTATATCCGTTTTATAAAAAGTAAATCCGTATCCGTTAAAGAAAACAAGGAAATCAAAATTGCTTAAAATGTGTAAAAATATAATTGGAATTTTTATTTGTTATTGTTTGAAATAATTTAGGTATTTGTAACGAAATCACAACATTTATGGCTGTGTTTCCGGCGGCAACTTTTTAAATTACCTCATCAAGTTTTGTTTTACCTATTTCTTGGCAAATTATTTATTGAAACTTCTGAATTACATATTTTAATAAACTGACTATCTTAAAGTTACGAACATAAATTAAGGACAAAGTTTTAAATACGTTTGCGGAATTTAAAGATGGCGCTGATTTTTAACTTGGGAGATTATTAAAATCATCTTCTATATCGATGGGTGCCTGGAATAAAGCCGCAATCGACAAAACACAATTTTACAGGAGAAGAGATTTAGTGAAATTTTTGAATAATAACTAAACTACGAGGCGTATCCAAATGGTTTGTATATCAAACGATGCGTTATTTTTTCTGGAGTAACATATAATGTGCATAAGGTTATAGTGCTTAGAATATACCATAAAAAAGGTAGAAATACATATTGCCGCTTCATACTTTGAAAGTCGGTTCCGTAAGAGTCCATTGTGGTTTTATTCCGGTAAAAAGTGCAAAAGTAATCATACAGCAATAGTGCATTGCAGCGTTGTGCGCTGATCTGAAGGATGTATGGCGAATACAGTAATAGCGGTTTGCTTGAATTTAATGATCGACTTGGAAAATGTACTGGTGAATGCTGTGTACATTATATGTTCATATGGTCCGTATCGAAATGAGTACAAAGTTGAATATCTAGAGTGTTTCGTTAATATCTTTATATAAAGTAGTGGAATTCATTAGTACATAATGATAATATTATAATATTACACGCTTTTGCCCGCGGCTTTTTCGTAGTTTAGAAGTTATCAATAATTTTGTAACTTTTTTTCAATTTCATGACCTAGTAGGCTTTAAAAAAACTTATCTTTATTTCGGGTTGACTTATCTCAGATTTCTTTATTTTGACAATATCGCTATTAATTGCAAATGTTTGAAAAAAATATTCACCTTCCTATCTTTGATGCAAGATTCAAAATTTTTGCTAGAAACATAAAAAAAATGCTTTTAGCAGAACATTCTCAAAATTTCAACTTAAATGTTTAAATAATAAAAAATGAGAACTTTCATAGGTCTAAAATAATTTTAAAAACTGCGCAGTTTTCTGGACATTCATAATAATACAAAAAAAACATGTACTTAATAGGCCACTATTTTTGTAATCGCTCCACTAAAGTGGTAAGTCGCTAAATGTTTTTGACTTTCTTAAAGTGAATTAATATGGGCAATCTTCTAAGTTTACATTACGTAGAACAGATTTAGAGACAATAACTGAACAGAACATGTTTTTATTCTCAGCAAGGAAGCTTTTGCCCTTTATCACACCTGGTGGAAACTGTGATCAGGCTCAAGGTAGAAGGAAACTTCAACTACAGAGAAACTATGGCTTCCTACCTCCAATGCCGAAACATATTGTTATTATAAATAAGCTTTAATGAACATAAACCAAATATCCCTCCTTCTTCTCTTCCTAAGTCCCCTTTATCTTCCTAAGTCTGTCGCCATAACAATAATGTTGACAGCATTACTGTGTTCCAGTCCAGCAGTTGTCAGGTAGGTACACAGCATTGCTTAATGTAAATCCAATCAACATATTTTTATTGCATAGAAGAACACCATGAAGTATTATTACTTAAGAAAGTTTAAAGAAATTGTACAAGTAGGTAATGTTTATTGTGACTTGGTACACATAGTTTGTTTCGGGGAACAAAGCCGCAATGGCCGTTACTTGTAGAAGTTTGAAATAAAACTTTTAACATTGAACATGCCACGATTATTCTGGTAAACAAATTTCCGGGAATAACGATTCAATATCCATAGTGCTTTTGGTAAATCAGCCAGTTTCAAAGATAAAATTCTGAAAAAAAATCACAAGGTGTATAGGGACCCCCAGATTACGAAAATCGCTTAATCGGAAAACTGCTGCTATGGCTATTGCGGCTTTATTCCAGGCACCCATCGATATATATGTTACGGCTAAAGATAGGTGTGAATATAAACTTAAGATTAGCCGGCTAAACTTAAGTTTAGCTTCGAGAAGCAGCTAAAGTTCGATAACATGTTAGTTTGCGGCATGATATTCCATCTTTAGCCGGCTAATGTGCACATTAGCCAAAACGATACGGCTAAAAATGTATTCGATGGGCGCGCCAGGCCGGCGGAGGGCTTGAGGGGGCGGTGGGGAGACAACGAATAGCTCCATATTATTTAACAATTGTGACTAGACATTGTTTTAAGTAATTAACACTGAAGAAGTTTTATTTTGTTTTATTTTGTAATTTTAAATACCTACCTACAGAAGATTCTGTAATGACCAAATGGTTCCTTATTACTTTATTTTAATGATTAGGTACCTAGATATTGTTTTAAGTAATTAATATTTTGTTATTGTAATAATTGTAATTTTGAATACCTACATAGGTACATAAAAGTATGTGTAATGAAAGTGATTATTTTTTAATAAAGTTTTCGTGTCAAAATAGTAAACATTATTACATTGTTTCCTTTTCCATTTCCTTCTACATTTTTAGCCAAGGGCCTGCGGTTACACTTAAGTTTAGCCGGCTAAAGATAGAAAAAACTAACATTAACACCTCGTCGAAGATAAACTTAAGTTTAGCCGGCTAATCTTAAGTTTATGTTCACATCTATCTTTAGCCGTAACATATATAAACTTAAGATTAGCCGGCTAAACTTAAGTTTAGCTTCGAGAAGCAGCTAAAGTTCGATAACATGTTAGTTTGCGTCATGATATTCCATCTTTAGCCGGCTAATGTGCACATTAGCCAAAACGATACGGCTAAAAATGTATTCGATGGGCGCGCCAGGCCGGCGGAGGGCTTGAGGGGGCGGTGGGGAGACAACGAATAGCTCCATATTATTTAACAATTGTGACTAGACATTGTTTTAAGTAATTAACACTGAAGAAGTTTTATTTTGTTTTATTTTGTAATTTTAAATACCTACCTACAGAAGATTCTGTAATGACCAAATGGTTCCTTATTACTTTATTTTAATGATTAGGTACCTAGATATTGTTTTAAGTAATTAATATTTTGTTATTGTAATAATTGTAATTTTGAATACCTACATAGGTACATAAAAGTATGTGTAATGAAAGTGATTATTTTTTAATAAAGTTTTCGTGTCAAAATAGTAAACATTATTACATTGTTTCCTTTTCCATTTCCTTCTACATTTTTAGCCAAGGGCCTGCGGTTACACTTAAGTTTAGCCGGCTAAAGATAGAAAAAACTAACATTAACACCTCGTCGAAGATAAACTTAAGTTTAGCCGGCTAATCTTAAGTTTATGTTCACATCTATCTTTAGCCGTAACATATATAAAAGAAAGTCGTGTTAGTTACTCCACTTATAACTCAAGAACGGCTGAACCGATTTAGCTGAAAATTGTCAGGGAGGTAGTTTAGAGCCAGGAGAAGGACATAGGATACTTTTTATCCCGTTCGAAATAAAAAAAAAGTCTGCTTATTTATTGCCATTAAGGCGGAACAAAGTTCGCCGGGGCAGCTAGTTATTGTTAAAATTAATTTTGCATGCTATACCCTGGTGCATGCATGCAATACCTACATGATTAAATTAGCCAAGTAAATAATTGTGATGTAATGGGAACTATTATAATACATAACACTAAAACCCTCTAATATCTATGTCGACTGGTAGACGATACGTGGAGGGAATAAAATTATTGTACCTCTACACGAGCAGGGGTTTATTTACCTTTTTTAGGGTAATTACAAATGTCCTAAATACCATCATTCCAGAACAACATACTTAAATCGTTTGATAGTGGGAAAAAAATGGCATTGGTCAGTCTTTTGTTTCAATTCAATTTTTATAGGCAGGGTCCCCCGAACTTACAAATTGCTTGTCTGCATGCCTATCTAAAGCCTGGTCCGTGAGCACGTAGAATTTTGTCCAATGACCCCTAGCTACCCATCCTTATCGCTCGCGCGTAATTATGTTGCTGTCGCGCTCGTACACTCACTGCGCGCGCGCTTCGCACAGATAAGGATGGGTAGCTTGGGGTCATTGGACAAAATTCTACGTGCTCACGGACCAGGCTTTAGATGAATTGAAATGTTTAGAAAATAGTAAAACTTGACTAGGGTTGAAGCAATACGCAATCTATGACCCCGGTTTTAGGTTTGTATTTGCATGAACAAAGGTGACTGAGTTTCTTCCGCCACTTCTTCTCAGTACCAGCCCATAATGTTGTCCCGAGGTGGTGGTAGTGCAAGCAATATTTGGGACGTTTATAAGTGCCCTAGAAATGGCCTGTGTACTGAATAAACTACATATTTGAATTTGAAAAAATCAACAGTTCTGCTTTGACAACTTCTGCTTATAAACACAGGGATTTCGTCGGGTTGAAATGAAAATTGGAATTCACAGTAAGCTTAATACTTTAATAAGACTAATTATAAAATCACATGTACAAAATATTTCACAGTCCATTACACATTTTTTATTTTTGTTTTTTTTTTCTTATAAGATTGAACTACTTAGGCAGAAGATACACAGTTTTTATACCAATCCATTACATTTTGATACATAGTTACGTAGATACAACATGAATTTTTAAATAATCAGTTTATTGTGAATGAAGATAGTATTCGTGATACTCTATGACAGAAAAAAAATAGAATTTATAATAAAATAGAAAAATTGGGTATTAAATGGTCGCAAATACTCTTTATTACCCTGAAAAAAGGTTCATAAATATCTCTGTGATTTCTAGGCTAATGTGAAAGTACAACACATCAGCTCAGCATAAAATTTATCAATTCATTTTCAACCTTAAAACTATGACAATAAAATCTATAAGTAACACTTCACTTTATAACTAACATAAAATATAAAATCAGATACAGATATTTATACAAATCAAAAACAATCAAATCACATTATTTAGACGCGAGGTATTTTATACATAAAGTAAACATTTAAAAGATCACATTTTCCACATTTGCATTCAAAATTTAATTTAAAATTAAATTCTAAATTAACGAAGTCTGTACAACGGAATGCATAGTTACTAAAATAAAGGAATGAAACAATTTTAACAGATTGTATCTGTATGTCATAGTCACATAATAAGGGTTTCAAATTGGCGCCACTGGCGAGTAATAGGACCTTACTCGACATTAGCGCCAATCTGGCGCAAATATTTCAACGGCTTCAGCGCTCACTAGTTGCAAAAATGAACCAGTAACGGTTTTTCGAATAATTACAATTTCCGTACTTTTGATTCGGTTAGAGGATTATTGGTATTTGCACTTACTACGGTGGCGCCACTGTAGAAAGGTTCTTTCATTCGTATCGTAATAGCGCCAACTAACCAGTGCTTATACGGTCGCTCTTATTTAATAGCTGAATTGGTTAGATTATTAATAATGAAAATTCAGTTACTGAATAAAACACGAAGAAATTTAAGCACTATTACAAGGTCACAAGACTTGGTTTCGTGGTCTTCCATAACCTTACGAACTAAATATACTTTGCTGCTCGACATTTGTGGTCCAATTCAAATTACATCTACTATAGTCTGGTCTGCGAGCACGTAGAATTTTGTCCAATGACCCCAAGCTACCCATTTTTATCGCTCGCGCGTAATTATGTTGCTGTCGCGCTCGCACACTCACTGCGGGCGCCCGTCGCACAGTCGCGACATACAGCAATATAATTACATGCGAGCGATAAGGATGGGTAGCTTGGGGTCATTGGACAAAATTCTACGTGCTCACAGACCGGGCTTTAGACCTAAAGTTGAAATTATTAATAATACTTCAGTAACTCCATAAAAACGAAAAATCCTCACTCCATAAAAAATTAGGCGCTATTACAAAGTCACAAGACTGGATTTCGTGGTCTTCCATAACTTTACGAACTAAATATACTTTGCTGCTCGTCATTTGTGGTCCAATTCAAATTACATCTACTATAGTCTGGTCTGCGAGCACGTAGAATTTTGTCCAATGACCCCAAGCTACCCATCCTTATCGCTGGCGCGTAATTATATTGCTGTCGCGACTGGCACCTGCAGTGAGTGTGCGAGCGCGACAGCAATATAATTACGCGGGAGCGATAAGGATGGGTAGCTTGGGGTCATTGGACAAAATTCTACGTGTTCACAGACCAGACTATACTTTACAATACTTACATTTCCGAGTTCTGATCCATAGCCTTGTTATCATACCCGTATGCAACGCCATCAATCCCGTACCGACTGTTCTCGCGTTGCGTTGCGACTGACGCGCCATCTGTGTCGAAACTCGCGTCGGAGTCTACTTCAACCACCCAATGTTGTTTTTCGGCTGAGCAGAATATTCCGTAGATTATGGCGCCGATTAGATAGATGATGCTGGATATGAAGAACACGATGCGCCATTGTTCTGCGGTCTGGAAAAGTGAAAAGAATTTGTTAGGTTACTACAGTCAATAACAATAAATTGTAGACATTTGCTTGACTTTATAGCTCCATACACATCTGATAAGGTATCGTTTCTGTTCGGATAATTTGATTGATTCCAAGTCTACTAACTGGAGATAATAGCACATACTGCAACTATAAAGACGCCATACATTTATAAGTCTAATGTCCGTTTTTACCATCAATCCCTAATTTTAAGTGACCCCTATGAAAACAAAATTCCTGTTAAGTGTTACCATAGGGGTCACTTAAAAATTAGGGATTGATGGTCAAAACGGGCATAAACCTCTTATAACCGCGGAAACGTGTTTTGGACTTATTGTTGTTGTGATAAATGTTGTAAAACAGAGGTGGAATTGTGTAAAACAATCGTAATCATTTGACAGTTCATAACGTACGATGAAGTCATTTAAACAAAGTGTTTGACAGAATAATCGTACGTTATGAACTGTCAAATGATTACGATTGCTTTATACAATTCCACCACAGAACGTATTACAACTAATTTAAGTGTCATTTTACCTTGTCAGTGACGATGGCGCCGGCAAGAGGCGGGCTGATGATGCCAGGCAACGTAGCCACGGTGTTAGACACGCCCATTAGTACGCTGGCATGCGGTGGCGCGATATCCAAGTGGTTTACACTGAAATTGGCAATAATAAATACGTAAATAAGCTTGTTAGGGAAGACCGCCTAAACGGTGGACAGACGATATCCGGCAACAGGCTGGAGTGACTGGATGCGTGTGGCCAGGGACAGAAGTCGGTTAGAGGGTTGAAGAGGAGGCCTATGTTCGAAGGCGAACCCAAAGGCTGCTATAGAAGCTTTTTAGCAAGATGAAAAAGTCAAAAACTAATTAAATTAAACTAGATAAGTTAAATTATTAAAACAGTCATCATAATGTTATTTAATCTAAATTGTAGTAACACGAGGTTCTCAAAACCAGTAGGCAAATGGAGAAGTTGGCCTACTATAGTCCCTACGTTAGCCAGACGGATTGGGGAGGCCTGAAGATCACATTTTCTCTTTTAATTGCCTATACGATATTCACGGGAAAAGGAGGTGGTGGTCATATTCTACTCTGCAGCATATTAATGTTTGATTTGTTTGTAAGTAGGCGATTTATTTATTATGTTACTTGTTCTTAAAGGTAGCTTTTCGAACTAAGCGTCACTGACGCAGCGTCTTTAGCTTTGGTCTTAAAGGTAGCCTTTCGAAGCGAGTTATAGTCCATTCAGCGTAAGATGGTGATTATGACAGTTCTATTTAGTGAGGCGCTCCTTATAAACCTAATCGATATTTTTTAGAATCGAGAATATTTTCTATAGAAATCTAATCGCCTTTTATTTCTTTTATTTTTAATCTTGATCAAAATTATATCCATGAATTTGAACTACCTGGAAATTGAATAAACGTGAATATTCTTAGTGGTACAAAATAAATCTCAAAGAATTAAATATGTGCATTTTATTCAATAAAACATCAAAATAACAATAACAAACAATACGTGGAGAAATCGCATAAAACAAAACCGTCCTAAAAGGCAAACGCACACGTACTGACTTAGCTTTGACCTGCCTGAGATAATAATCGTGATTCGATGGTAAGATGACCACCATGCCGATTACTGATTTATTGCGATTGTTTATGTCCCATCCATATGAGCAAAAGTTCCGACTAACGCAGAAGCAATTCATTTAATATTTTTTCTCATTTTTTTCTAAATAATAAACTAATAAATAATTAGAAATTCTTGTTTAGTTTAATTGAGAAAGATTAGTGATTGATATTTTGGAAGGATGAAAACACACAAAAGTAATTGATTTTTACAACTCAATATTTTTATTAGCAGAAAGTTATAATCATAAAACGAAACGTTTTATCTGTCTAAATCACCATCATAAGTTGAATGAACTATAGTGACGCGGCGTTGGTGGCACAAGACCAAAGCTAAAGACGCTGCGTCTGTGACGCTTAGTTCGAAAGGCTACCTTTAAAGTTAATTTTTCATACCTAAATCCAGACCACGCGAAGCCTCCCAATCCAACCGCGATGGTGAGGCAGATCAAACAGCTGGTCACAGTCGTAGCGTATGCAGCTGCTACCATGAATATTGTCTGAAAAACAAATAAATAAATAGATAGATAACCCTTGGACATTTTACATGACGATATAAAGGCTTCAACACCATGCCATCACGTCTGTCTGAAATACAATACAATGCCATTACGTCTAGTCTGTCTGAAATACAGTTTTGCATGTAAACAATTTTTTTTGCATGTAAAAATGTATAAAATAGTTTTTGATTTGGTTACAAAAAAAAGACCTTGATATTTTTCCTATACAGCGCCATCTATGATTCTATTACGTAATTCTTTACATCCCGTGCTTTATACAAAATAGCATCTATAAATTAATGGTTTCGGTCACTACCAATAGATGGCGCTATATACAAAAAGTAAAAACTCCTCAACTCGCCTCAAATTGACTGTTGATTTTGAATTCAGAACCTTATTACCTGCGAAATAAAAGCGCCGCAGTTGAACAGCTTCCTGATATTGGTCCTCGTCAACGTCCCTCTCCTTAGAAGCCAGTCGGCTAAGTGTCCCGCCACTTGAAGTACTATGGCCATGGCGAGATATGGTACAGCAGCTAACCAGCCAGTTTGGGACGTCTCGAACTTGAACACGTCTGGAATTTGAGATAGTGGGATATTGAGTAAAATAAACATCTAATATCTTTATCATCATCATTATTTCAGAAACAGGACGTCTACTGCTCCCCCAATGACTTCTATATCGCACGGTTGGTAGCGGCCTGCATCCAGCGCCTTCCTGCTACCTTTGTCAGGTCGTCGGTCCACCTTGTGGGTGGACGTCCTACGCTACGTTTTCCGGTATGTGGCCTCCACTCCAGAACCTTGCTGCCCCATCAGCCGTCAGTTCTGGGTACTAACATCTTACCAAAAAACAAATTCAAATATTTTTTTAAGTTGAAATTAGCTTAAAACTGCCTCAGGTGAGAATTGAACCCACGACATTTCGCTAGCTGGCTGGCTTCAATAACCTGTAGTCGAATTCTTGGTCACGGCATGCCCTAGCATTCATTTGACGACAGAGAATTAACGACGCAGGTCATAATAGCTTATATCGAGCGTGTTCCTTTTAATGTAGGTATTACGAATGGCTGCACAGCTTATTTCTATTACTTTTGTTCTCGCTGAAGTGCGCCATGACGATTGCCCACACCGGTGCTGACGTCAGCATGGCGCGCCACGGGTGTCACGTATTATAAGCCCTGCTGAACTTAGACATACCTTGCATAAAAGTAGGCAGGAACGTAAGCAGCGTGTAGAAGCCCCAGTTTTCACTGAAGTGCGCCATAACGATGGCCCACACCGGTGCTGACGTCAGCATGGCGCGCCACGGGTGTCGTATTGTAGTCCTGCTAACTTTGATATACCTTGCATGAAAGTGGGCAGGAACGTAAGCAGCGTGTAGAAGCCCCAGTTTTCACTGAAGTGCGCCATGACGATGGCCCACACAGGTCTGACGTCAGCATGGCGCGCCACAGGTGTCATGTGTTATATTATACCTCGTCAAACTCAGACATACCTTGCATGAAAGTAGGTAGGAACGTAAGCAGCGTGTAGAAGCCCCAGTTTTCACTGAAGTGCGCCATGACGATGGCCCACACCGGTGCTGACGTCAGCATGGCGCGCCACAGGTGTCACGTGTTATAATATACCTCATCAAACTCAGACATACCTTGCATAAAAGTAGGCAGGAACGTAAGCAGCGTGTAAAAGCCCCAGTTTTCACTGATGTGCGCCATGACGATGGCCCACACTGGCGCTGACGTCAGCATGGCGCGCCACAGGTGTCACGTGTTATATTATACCTCGTCAAACTCAGACATACCTTGCATAAAAGTAGGCAGAAACGTAAGCAGCGTGTAGAAGCCCCAGTTTTCCCTGAAGTGCGCCATGACGATGGCCCACACCGGTGCTGACGTCAGCATGGCGCGCCACGGGTGTCACCGTCACGTGTTATAAGCCCTGCTGAACTCAGACATACCTTGCATGAAAGTAGGTAGGAACGTAAGCAGCGTGTAAAAGCCCCAGTTTTCACTGAAGTGCGCCATGACGATGGCCCACACCGGTGCTGACGTCAGCATGGCGCGCCACGGGTGCCGTGTGTGCGAGCCTTCCACTGCTTGAGTGCCACGAGACTCCTGCAATGGGATTCATGAAACTGGTTACAATCAATCACCAAGAAAGATATTTTTCAGTGGTGACTGAGTTTGTTCCGGCGTTTCTTCTCAGCACTTGCCATATGTTTTCCTCGAAGCGCTGGTAGGGCCCAAAAGATAAGGAGACATGTAAAGTGCCCCATAAGGGCTACCTTTTCTTTTTTTATTATTTTCTATAATAATATTTTGACGTTCATAAGTGCCACTTGTGGTCTAAACTGAATAAATACTTTTGATTTTGATTTAAATATTTTCAATATTTTCTGTGTCCATTGCTAAACATAGGCTTGCATCTAACGCCTACTGGCAATCTTTATAAGGTCGTTTGTACACTTTGCATTGCGTAATAGGTCTTGTACCAGATTCTCTTTGCAATTTCTTTGTCAGTAGTTAGTTCTAAAAGGGTTTTTTGCCTTCTTTCGTGCTTAAACATCTCAATAATCATGAGCGAAGTTTTAAATTAGAAAAGGAAATTTATTTTTTCATACCTGTATGTATTTTAGTTCAGCCGGAGTTATAAGAGGGTCTTTTTCAGGCGACTCCTTGACCACCAACCACCATATCGTCGTCCACACCAGTCCCATTATTCCTGTAAATAAACACGCGTAAAATTGACAAAACTGAACTTTATTACGATCAGATAAGATACCGGCGTAACTGCCGCTGAGTACGAACGAGAGAACGTTGCCACCTTTGTTACAATATCGACCTTATTCCGTCTACATAATGTTGCGAAAGTTGCGAATGCGAAAGTGGCGACGCGTTGCAATATCACTCTTATCACAGTTACATAAGGTGCCACAGCATCTGGAGGCCTTTGTAATTGCATTATCACCTTGGACGAACAAACCACTGGACGCGTAACGAGTGACGTTTTCGTCTTTACCCCGCTAGCACTTACCAAGGCTAAATTAGCCATGGTAAATGTTGTCAGGTTGTCACTTTGTCAGTATGACGCGAGCTCTCGAAGAGTAAAAATATCACGAAAAATGGGTAAATGCGCCGTACCTTATTGCAAAAATTATTCCGGTCACACAAGAAATGTTTCTTATCACGCGTAAGTACATTTTAAATCTATTAAAGTAGCTATTTTTTCGTAAAATAAATAAAATTTGATATGTAAACAAAATATGATTACGTCATTTTAAAAAGTACTCATTGTACATGTAAATGCTTAAAACATGTAGCATATTTAATTTGGTTGGATTATAGGTTTCATTCATTCATTCACATCTCATTTTTTATGACGTAAAGGGCTTGAAAAATGTCGATAAGTTTATCGATATACCAAACAAACTGAAACTGAAATTATTCAAATTAATTTAAGATTTCCAGTGGATCCAAATAGAAGGAGAAAGTGGATAGAGGCAGTCAGAAGACAAAATACGTGGATTCCAACTAAAAACCACTGCATTTGTAGCATTCATTTTGCGGAAGAATGCTACAATGCCAATTCTACGAAACAGAGAAAACTGCACAAAGATTCTTTAGATAGTGCATCCGTACTGCAAGCGCTACAAAGCAATACATTGTCATAATGTTATCAAATTGTGTTTCATGAAATGTATAGAAATAGGCTATTGATGAAACTTTTGTCCGTGACGTGAGACAGATTATAACATTTGTTGAGACCAAAAGCTAGTTAGCAGTCGATCGTAACAGAATATTACTTGTTTATTGCTTTACGAATTTGATAATGATAACACAGCAAAAAAATATTTCACCTAGTTACCTACCTATATGAATAATTTGTAATATTATTTGTACCTATGATTTACCAATGGCACTATAATAAACACGATACAATAATTAATTATTGTCTTTTAATTAAAGAAACTTTCAATAATAAATCAATCCATAATTCATTTATCTCGTTAGGTTCATTCATTCATTCATTTACATAACTATCGATAAAAATTTACGATCTTTTCCCAGCACTAAATGTCATTATTTGACAATTGTCAAACCTCTCCCCCCGCAAAAAGTGGTTGATCGTGTTTCCTTAGAAATCTTGTAGGTTTCGTGTCCAGTGGTTTATTCGTCCAAGATTATCACCCTTATTATTACACCTCATCATCATCATCATCATCATCTCAGCCATAGGACGTCCACTGCTGAACATAGGCCTCCCCAATGCTTTCCATGTTGCCCGGTTGGTAGCGGCCTGCGTCCAGCGCCTTCCTGCTACCTTTATGATGTCGTCGGTCCACCTTTGGGTGGACGTCCCACGCTGCGTTTTCCGGTACGCGGCCTCCACTCCAGAATATCGACCTTATTCCATCTACAGAAGGTATAATACTCACCGAACACGTAGAATATCCCCGGCCAGCCGGTATATTTCGCGAGCATGGAACACACAGGCATAGACACCACAGTGCCGGCGTAACTACCGCTGAATGCAAACGTTGCTCTGTTGCATTATGAACCTTATTCCATCTAAAGCCCGGTCTCCGAGCACCTAGAATTTTGTCCAATGACCCCAAGCTACCCATCCTTATCGCTCGCGCGTAATTGTGTTGCTGTCGCGCTCGCACATTCACAGTCGCGACAGCAATATACCTAATTACGCGCGAGCGATAAGGATGGGTAGCTTGGGGTCATTGGACAAAATTCTACGTTCTCGACGACCAGACTATACATAAGGTATAATACTCACCGAAAACGTAGAATATCCCCGGCCAGCCGGTATATTTCGCGAGCATAGAACACACAGGCACCACGGTGCCGGCGTAACTACCGCTGAATGCGAACGTTGAAATATCGCCCTTATTATATCAGAATAAGGTATAATACTCACCGAATACGTAGAATATTCCAGGCTAGCTGATTCATCATAGCGTGCATGTATGAAGAAAACAAGCTGCCGGTTTAACTGCCGCTGAATGTAAGCGTTGTCTTTGTTGCAATATCGACCTTATTCCATCGACATAAGGTATAATACTCACCGAACACGTAGAATATCCCCGGCCAGCCGGTATATTTCGCGAGCATGGAACACACAGGCATAGACACCACAGTGCCGGCGTAACTACCGCTGAATGCAAACGTTGCTCTGTTGCATTATGAACCTTATTCCATCTAAAGCCCGGTCTCCGAGCACGTAGAATTTTGTCCAATGACCCCAAGCTACCCATTCTTATCGCTCGCGCGTAATTATGTTGCTGTCGCGACTGTGCGACGTGCGCCCGCAGTGAGTGTGCGAGCGCGACAGCAACATAATTACGCGCGAGCGATAAGGATTAAGGAGAAAATTTTACGACAACCAGACTATACATAAGGTATAATACCACAGAAAAATAATAAGTACTACGTAAAGAAGTTTTACTTCGCGAAGGTATTTAAAAAAATGTATGCTCAATGTCATTAACAATATGGTGTAATTTAGCTTGTCTCAAGAGTCAAGCAAGTTTATCAGAAGTTTTGTGTCAGTGATCAGTACTGCGCCGAAGCTATAGGGCTGACTTCGGTAAAATGATGTGACGTGAGGTGCCAATCTGCAGAAAATGGCGGAGGAAATACATGATTTAGCATGAATTATCATGAATAATATTAACTACTTATTTACCTCTCAGTGTCTTGAGGCAACTTAAAAAAGTACATTCTGTGTTTTTATTATTATTTAGGCAGTTAAATACTGCACAGTATTTAGTACACCATTTTCTGTATTTTTTTCCATCATACACAAGAATACGCGTGCGTGAGTCAATGTTCGCTCGTATGTGAGGCCTTGTCGAATAGTACTCTTGTAGGGGGCAATCGTGCCTGTTTTGTTTTCGATGTACAAACTCGCGGAGATGAACAGGCCTGATAATACTCACCAAAAACGTAGAATATCCCCGGCCAGCCGGTATATTTCGCGAGCATGGAACACACAGGCATAGACACCACGGTGCCGGCGTAACTACCGCTGAATGCGAAAGTCGCGAGGCGCGCGCGCTCCTCGCTTGGCGCCCAGCGGGCCCATACCGCGTGGATGCAGGGATACGTCACACCCTGGTAAGAATATAGAGGTTAGAGAAAAAAAAACACAAGAGAATATTTTTTTAGACTAACGGTTAAAAATGAAAATTATGTCAAACTTACTAACTGTCTTACTCTGTCTGATTGTCTGTCTGTCCGTCTGTCTGTCTGTCTGTCTGTCTGTCTGTCTGTCACGCTTTCACGCCTAAACCTCTGAAGCGATTTTGACGAAATTTGGCATAAAGATAGTTTGAGTCCCGGGAAAGGACATAGGATAGATTTTATCCCGGTTTTTGTGACAGGGACGCGCGCGATAAGGTTTTTCTGTGACAGACAAAATTCCACGCGGGCGAAGTCGCGGGCGGAAAGCTAGTAAATACATAAAACAAAAAAAATGTTTTATTCGATTTCAAAGTCTAAATAATCAGGTGTCTTTTAAGAAAAAATATTTTTGTGATTGTTATGTTTTGTGTTTACTACTTGCTTCAAAGACATCATTGTACCAGTAAACATGCTGTCCTGAAACTGAGATAATAATTATTATGGTTGTTCTTAAATTTGTGAAGAGAATGTGCCTCGAGCTGATAAGTTGTAGTAGAGAAACTAACATTCAAGAGATAAGACGACTAAGACCGATAAAAATAAGCTATTATTTACGTAATTTTGGGCTGTCAGATTTAAATATTTAACATACTTCGCGTATCAAGTATTTAGTACTACTAAATATTACCTCAAAAAGTCCTTCCACTACCCGCACAGCGATAAGCAGGCCGGTGCTTGTATACGCCAATGGCGGCGTCAGTAGAGTCAGCAGCGATGTGGCCCCGATGCCTATCGCGAACACCCTGGAACACCACAGAAGATGGTATTGAGTGAAGAAGATAAATCTGTACCCCCAGTGAAAAGGGAGTTAAGTCGAAAATGGTGATTTTTGGGAAATCGCATTTGAAGTTAAAAAAAATCCTGCTTCATCGCTATTAGAGATAACTTGGTGAAATATTTTTTAGGTGAAAGGTAATGTTACATATAATTAGGCAGTGTGCCAGTTTGTGAAATATAGCATGTGGTTTTTTCGTAATTAAATAAAAACACAGTTATATCACCATGCACGACAACTTTACATTCGTGTAAAGTGATGTAATGAGACATAAATCATTTTACACCACACTGAATTGACCACACGCTATCAAGTGTAAAGTGATACACTTTCCGCCATTTCTGTTGTTAATTTTTTGTTTCTTCAATTTTAGAAAAAGTTGTAAAACAAACATAAGTAATTACACTATGAGGAATCATTATTTCAGGTTATTTAGGGTAAATCGTCTAAAAATTGTTACTTATATCAATATACACCAATTTTGTGGTGAGAAAAAAAATGTGTAAACTGATCTAACTAACATAACAGCGATCTAAGTATCCAAATCATTATGTGTAAAGTGATATAAGTGGCGATTGTAAAGGAATAAGGCTAGAATTTGAGACTGAATTCTAATTATTTACTGCTTAAATGTTTATACTGATCTGAAACTACTATTTTATTAATTATTACACCATATACCATGAATGATATCGGCCTAAATCACATACATTATCTCCTATTTTAAAGAAAGTATAGCTGATGCAATTGTGTAGTAAAGACCAGAAACAACAATGGTTTCACATCAACTAATTAGACAGGAGACAGAAAAAAGTTAGTTTTCTACAATTAACCTATAAGGAATCAATTCCTGGACCAGAGATGGTGATGTCAAGCTATATTGATTGCCTTTTGGCTACAGAAGGATAACATAAAAGTAAAGTCATAAAATGCATTTGTTTTCAACAAAGAGGCTTTTAAAAAGCCCTTTAACACGTCCTAGTATTACATGAACCCTACTTTTATTTTGGGACATAAATGGGCCAGTGCTGAGAAGAAGCAGCGCAAGAAATTTAGCCACCCTTGTCAGCCTCTTCTTAAATCATAAATAACTTGAAAAATGCCTGGCGGGAATCTTCTTAAATCAATAGAGACATGAATTAACAAGACATGTTATACTTGCGAGCTAAGCAGATAAAGTCCAGCCACACATGCCATTTACATAATTATTTACTTTATACATAGTATCCATTCATAAGGCCTTTCGTAGTTAGTTTTGCAGGACAATCGAATATTGCACTTCTTAGCCTTTTGATTAGACCATTATGCGCTATTTGTAGTTTATCTTCCTATTCCAACCACTCCAGATCCCCCAGGTGGCAGCAGCCTATTTAAGTCGCTACAGGCATTCTGCAGCGACCATGGTGTTTGGAGAATTTGAGCCTGTTGATCTGCTACGCTTGTGCACTCCTTGTGCACGTGCTGCGGTTTTTCTTCTGCCTCCATGCATCTTCTGCACAGTAGGCTGTCTGTAACAGCTATATTGTGTAGATATTTGTTTAACATACCTGTTATTACACTTAGGACCTTGCGGATGTTGTCCCTGTTTAGTCTTATGAGGCTGCGGGAGAACTTTTTCGATATATCCACAACTGCATCTTTTGTTAGCCTGCATCTTTTGTTAGCCTGCATCTTTCACAATCTTCCCATTCTGTGTGGTGTTATTTTTCTACTTTGGAGCACAGCCAGGTCTTGATCTGTGCTTATGGTATCGGCATTATAATTGTTCCGGACCAAATACCGTCGTGTACGATCCCCTTCTGGCCAGTTCATCTGCTGCGTCGTTGCTCAAGGAGTTACTGTGCCCTTTGATCCACCGGAGTGCAGGGTAACACCATTTGCGTCTGCAATGACTTAGGAGCGCGTCATGGCATTCCAATATAAGTATTATTATGTAGTATATTAAGTTGCTTTGTATTGCTTGCACTATCTGAGATTATTTTTATATTCAGACCTCGGATGTCTATGGTTGCAACCGCCTGTGCTGCTCTGATTGCATTCTGCTTGGAAAATTGTATTGTGTTTATCTAGTGATGTTGATATTCTTAGTATATTTAGGTAATTCGAGAAGACACCAGCTAACCTTTTTGGGTTTTGGAGCCGTCATTGTATATCCTAACTTCATTGATTCCAGAGCAATCTTGCATTTCCGCTGTAAGCTGGATATTATATTTCCAGTCGAAGATGTGAACACAGGGAATTCTGTCGATGGGTGCCTCGGTGAGAGGTATTTCTTTTATTAGGGTTTTGTGCAGGATCGTGGAATGTCCTGTCTCCTTGTTTTGCTTCTATATGCCGTTCTTACCTTTAAGTCTTAGAGCGGCTGCTTGCGCTTCATCCTGAATGAAGAGGTCTAAAGATCTAAGATTCAGAAGGTACTCAAGTGATGTCGATGGAGTGGTTCTCATGCAACTAGTGGCCGCTATGCTGACTAGGCGTTGCAGGCTTTGGAGTTTTGATCTTGCTGTGGATAGTTGTGTTCTGTGCCACCACACAAGTGATCCATAATAATATATGTAAGAGGGCCATATAACCGACGTGTAGAGCCAAAGTGTTATCTTTGGGTTGAGACCTCATCTACTACCAATGAGTCTCTTGCACTGATGGAATGCTATATAGGCCATTTTTATTTTGTTCTCGACATGACTCGCCCAGTTCAATTTGTTGTCAAAGGTGATGAGTTTTGTTTATAAAGAGTTCTGGTAGTTGGAGCTCTTGTAAATTCGATAATGCACTTATTAAGTAATTTTATTGACAACGTTAGGCACTATGAATTCAATTTATATGTTTTACTAGTAGATATTTACCATTTTTTATTAAAACTATTAACTAAAATTCTTTGATTTCAAAACTACGACATTATTTTTTCCTTTATTGTGAAGTTATATCATTTTACACCAAATAATTAACCAAATTATTAGTTGCGATTTTCAAATGTTTTTGATCTAAGTAACTTACAACATTTTACACATGTACGAAACTTTTGTGGTTAATGGTATTAGTCTAATTGAATCACTATACACAAAATAAATAATCTTTTGTCTTTTACTTTTTGTGCTATAAATTAAGTTACATTCTTTTTCACCAACCAACAGTACATAGTTTTTTTTGTGTATATTAATATGAGTCATCTTATATTGTTAATCACAAACTCAATCTGAACAACTTCAATCGTGTAAAAAGTAGTAACACGAGTCATACCTCTTGACACAATAAAAAAGTGAAAGAAGCCTCCGGTACACTTTGTTAAAAGTAGACATGTATCAATATACACGAAAGAAAACTCAAAATTGGTTCACAAAGCCTTACTTGTATCATTTGGCACAACATTATTTTCTTTTCTATACGTCGTAGAAACATACCGATTAGATACAAAAATAGCTAATTTTTCAGAGATTTACATTATGTTATAAACTCAATTTTGATCTAAGTCGAGTTAGATCCCTTTTCACTGGGGGTACAGAAATAAGTTGATAGTATAAAAGCGTTTGCAAAAAAACATTTTTAATTTGGGAATAATCTTTGAGGCAACTTGGTAATAATTTTCTCGGGACTACTTTTGATAGTGAGCTTCAGAAATGTTTATTAGAAGAAAAGGTTCTTCTTCGTCTGTGCTTTAAATTTTTTTTAAAGTCTGTAGGTTAACCGAAGCTCACGAAACATAAATATACATACTCTTATACTGCGATAAACTGGTTGATAAATATAATTTGGCCTTTAAAGCTTTATTATTATTGTAGTAGCTAAGCATGCTAAGTTTTTACCAATTTACAAATCATTTTAAAAATGTGTATGAGTAAAGCCTGGTCCGTGAGCACGTAGAATCCCGTCCAATGACCCCAAGCTACCACCCCCTCCATAGCAAGTGGACAGATTCGCAACTGGACAGATTCTCAACTGGACAGATTCTCAGGTGGACGGATTAGCAACTGGACAGGACATGTACAGTCCATAACATAAAAACCTCCTGTACAGTAGTTTGTGTAATATAAATTTGAACCTATATCATGTAATGCATTATTTGAATGAGCTAGTGACATAGTATAAAGAAGGGAAGTAAGTTATCTTCATTCAAACGCACCGCACGCTTGCGCTTGTGTGAGTGTGCCATCCCTTTTTTAGGGTTCCGTAGCCAAATGGTAAAAAACGGAACCCTTATAGATTCGTCATGTCTGTCTGTCTGTCTGTCCGTATGTCACAGCAATTTTTTTCCGAAATGAAAATCATAAGAGCTATACTGCTACTAAACTTGGTAGGTAGGTATTCTGTGAACCGCATTAAGATTTTGATGCAAAAATAAAATAATAATAATAAATATTGGGTGCTCCCCATTCTCAGAACTGAAACTCAAAATTTTTTTTTCATCAAACACATACGTGTATCTAGGATAGGTCTTCAAAATTTGATATCGAGGTTTCTAAAATATTTTTTTTCTAAACCGAATAGTTTGCGTGACAGACGCTTCCAAAGTGGAAAAAATTTGGCCGGTTTTTTTTGTTTCTACAGTTATTTAAAAAAGAATCTAAAATCGTTGATACTAAAATAAGTAGAAGTTTTTATCACTGTATGGCCACCAGCCTCAGATCTGGTTGCGTTCGAAGATACCCACCACTTTGTGAACGTCAGAATGGCGGGTGTATGATCATAGAAATTAACAAAATAAATACGATTAATTAATACCTGATGTGTACCTTGGTGTACCTTTAGTTATTTATTTTGAACTTCTCTAAGATGGGAGCAATTACGATTGCAAAATGAGCCGCCAACCTGATATCAGGTTGGCGGGTGTATGCTGAAATTGGACGAAGCAGGTAAGTTATGGTTTTCTAATATTTATCATTATTTAGTACCTCAGATGTACAATTACAAAATGAGCCGCCAACTTGATATCAGGTTGGCGGCTCATTTTGTAATTGTAATTGTTCCCGTTTTAGGGAGGTACAAAATTAATAACTAAAGGTACACCAAGGTACATCTCAGGTGTTAAAAATTTATATTTATGTTATTCAACTAGCGGCCGCCCGGGACTTCGTACGCTTGGATCTCGTTTTATCCCCCCTTCATCTATCTTACGCGGTTCAGATTGTTTCATACAATTTTTTTTCCCGCTAACTCCCGTTCCCGTGGGAATTTTGCAATATCCTGTTGTAACTAAGCTTTAAGTTTACTAAGGTACCTGCATGCCAAATTTTAAGCGTCTATCTTACGCGGTTTAGATTTTTTCATACAAATGTTTTTTCCCGCTAACTCCCGTTCCCGTGGGAATTTTACAATATCCTGTTGTAACTAAGCTTTCAGTTTAGTAAGGTACCTGCATGCCAAATTTCAAGCGTCTAACTTAAGCGGTTTAGATTTTTCATACAAAAGGATTTTCCCGCTAATTCCCGTTCCCGTGGGAATTCCTAAGTATCCTATAACCTGCCCAGGAGTATAAAGAATAATTGTACCAAGTTTCGTTAAAATCCGCGGAGTAGTTTTTGTTTCTATAAGGAACATACAGACAGACAGACAGACAGACAGACAGACAGATAAAAATTTTACTGATTGCATTTTTGGCATCAGTATCGATCACTAATCACCCCCTGATAGTTATTTTGAAAATATATTTCATGTAGGTACAGAATTGACCTCTCTACAGATTTATTATAAGTATAGATTCTGTGACCATACACCCGCCATTCTGACGTTCACACCACTTTCCATACATTTGTGCCCATCATCCTTTGTCCCGGTATTCAAAAGTTTTTGTTTTTACTTAAATTACTTTAGTTTTATTTTCTATAAATAAAGTCTTTCAATGTATTAACTATATTTCATTGCTCATGACTGTACTCTGTCCAGTTGCTAATCCGTCCACCTGAGAATCTGTCCAGTTGAGAATCTGTCCAATTGCGAATCTGTCCACTTGCTATGGAGGGAAGCTACCCCCCATCCCTATCGCTCGCGCGTAATTATGTTGCTGTCGCGACTGTGCGACGGGCGCCCGCAGTGAGTGTGCGAGCGCGACAGCAACAGGACCAGGCTTTAGTAGGTATTCTTAAACACTCTTTTTATTTGTCCCAGCGCATGCAAGCTATTGTTCATAAAACGGAACGAACCTGTTACCTCCTATTTTAGATGCGAGCCAGCCGCCGGGCAGTTGCGTCACTAAGTACCCGTAGAAGAAGGAGCTCAGTACCAGCCCTTTGGTTTGCGAGCTCCAGTCGAATTCTGGCGCCTGGAAATGGGGAAAACAAGGAATTAATAAGTAAATTATATAAAATATTAATAAATAAAGAAAATAAGTAATAAGTAGGCGCTATTTTGCAACAAAAATGTATATTTTTATGTGCAAGAGCTCTTTGGTCCGTAAGCTTCAGGCGAAACGCCTAATAACGAGGAAAATATAAAAGTGCCTGTATGGAAGACTTATTCCTAAACATTATTACCTATAGTGGGAAGGAATATTTGGAAGATAAATTGTAAAATTACAAATGATACTCCTTCAAATTGGCATGCCTTACTATAAGTTTCTAAAATCTGTAACAATAACCTACGGCATTTTATGAACGTGTGCCTCTTGCATATTTTGCAAAAATACATTGTAAATGTTGTCAACTGTGTCATAAATAAGTGGACCAACAGTACGTCGCGCGAAAACGACTCGCATAATGGAAGACTGTACAAGATCAAAATTTTTATGGCCTCTCAAATCGAGAGGGTTTCGACACCCTCCATTACATACATGCCCCACCATCAGTCGCATAACCTTTCAAAATAGCCCTTATTTCGCTGGGTCAAAGTTCAAACAATTTGAGGAAAAAAATAACTTGGTATACTTTACAGCAAAGTTGGTCAACGCTTAACCCCGTAAATAGGTCATACGTGATCTCTGTACCTTCGACATAAGGTTCATTTTGTTACATCAGGTCTACGTCTGCGATATTAATAAACATTTATAGCCACTTTACAGCTTTCCACAAACGTCTCCGATAGAGTCGGAGGTTTAACAACGCATAAGTTAATAAAAATCCAATAGAGAAACACATTAGACCTCAAATGTGACCTCAAAGTTGGAATGCTTTTATTTTAATATCCGCCGTTATCTTTAAAGGTTAAAATGCATAAACAAACTGAGCAAACAGCAATCTTAGTACACGGTGACGTGTCTCTGCAAATAACACCTGTTGAGATATGTGATTTAGTTAAGATAGGAGTTTTACAACTCACAAAATTTGCTGCCTATTAAATTGCAGAGAATAATTACACTTTGATTGCCAGACGTAACGAGCTAATGGTAGAAATTAATGCATTCACGACTGGTTCAAACAAGGTTGCTTGTTCCATCGAAATGTTTCAGCAGATACGGCTATAAATTCAAAGATAGGGCTCTCTGTAGAAAATTTCAAGAAACATAGAGTAAAATTGAGAACTTCCTCCTTTTTTTAAGTCTTTTAGAATAAAGAAATGATGGTTTTCGTGTGGATCACGGAACAAGTAAACACATGCAGCAGACTGCATCAAGCATCAGGCACATTAGGTTGTGTACTAATGTGCAGTTATTTGTATGTAACCAGGAAATACCTATAATCTGCTATAAGAGCTAAAATACGATATCGCAAGACTGTTGATGGATTCTTTTGAGGAATCATTTGAGGCCTCTAATGCTACCATCAAATAAACAGATGAATTTCTGGGTTACTTACAAATATGATTGTGCCGTTCTCAAGCTTGGTCTCCACTGGTTCTGTCATGGCGACGACCGCTACCGAAAGGTTGGCTCGCAACGCGTACACATTGAAGAAGCCGAAGAAAGCCAGCAGCGCTACCACGAAGCGCCGCCTGTGCCAGAAGCACCACGAACTACTTGTGTGTTCTTTTGTTTTTTCCCTGAAAAAAAAAAAGATGTTCCATTTTATTACCGATAAAAAACAAAAGAAGAAAGTATTTCGTTGGAGAGGGGCGATGCCGATGTTAGTTGGAATATCAAATGAGATTGCCTGGAAGATTGATAGGACTGGAAAGCCTCAACTTGTCTGAATTTATTCTCGGTATCCCTCATTTCATTAATAAAAAGTCTACTTAACGAATACCACTAAGATAAAACTTTGGGTAAAGAAAATTAAACTGATGTTTAAAAATAGCTCAAAAGTATTAAAGGTTGAAACATGGACCTTTTTTATAGTTTGAAATAAATAATTGATTCTTTTTGTATGTAGAATTTAATAAGGTAGGTACATTATCAAAGACAAAAGTGCCTTTTGTTCCGGACAAAGATGTGTTTTTGTAAGTTTGCACTTTGATACTATATAAATGTATCAAAGTAATATAATACCTACGTTAATATATTTTTAAAGTAACTGCTGACGTCTTTGAATATCACTTATTATACAAAAGACGTCATCGACATAGCATTTTTTATGATTTTAGGGGCCGTTGGTCATCATTAGATATGATTATTGACAGGACAAGGTAAAATCAGTAATCATGGTTTAGAAATTCATGAGTGTTGGACTTTACGAAGAGCTCGATAAGTTAAAACTGGATTTACAATTTACATAAAACTATGGTGGGTTTAAATGGTGGTCTATTTATAGATTCAGGTAACTAAGGGCATACATACAGGAATGAGAGATGTGAATAGCCCATGTTTCACTACACATACGACACTGTATTTATTAAAGTTGATAAAGAGGAAGAAAAGTTGTTAAGAAAAGGCATTTTTTTATGTTTTTTTTATGTGACAGGAGGCAAACGAGCAGACGGATCACCTGATGGTAAGTGATTACCGTCGCCCATAGACACCCGCAGACCCAGGGGCGTTACAGGTGCGTTGCCGGCCTTTAAGGTAAAGATACGCTCTCCTCTTGAAAGCTTGCTTGCTTGTTTTAGTTTTAGGTGTTTTCACAGTATACATGGTTGGACTTGGGAGTATAAATTACTCTTAAGTTACTCCAAATGGCGCAGTAATAAATGTAAGCAGCGTAATCTCTGGTCTTGTTTGTCCGGGATGCAAACAATTTTATCTGTCAGCTACGTATTTGCTTCTTTTACAGCAGTACAGCAAAATCTTTTTGGGTAATCTTCAAGAGCATCTGCTTATTTACTATTTTAATTAGTACCTCTACATAAGGTTGGAGTTACAAATAAACCAAGCATAAGGTAACTAATTTTTAGAGCGTGAATTGTTGATAAGGCAAATTGATAAATCTGATGCCTAATCTATACAGTGAAACTCTATTATGCCTAGTCGTAATTCCATAAAATTCCGTGATATTAACTAACGTGCTTTACTTCATAAATGAACTTTCGACTGACAGCAAACTTCCATACAAAATGAGAAAACGTCAGTGTGCTTCAATATTGCAAGCAATATTGTGGGATATTGCATGCGAAAGTTGGCAAGAAATTACACTTTTACACCTGACTGCACGAAGGAGGCAAGGTAATAGATTTCGACTATAAAGATACAATAATCTATACTATATAATATTATAAAGCTGAAGAGTTTGTTTGTTTGTTTGTTTGCTTGAACGCGCTAATCTCCGGAACTACTAGTCCGTTTTGAAAAATTCTTTCAGTTTTAGATAGCCCATTTATCGAGGTAGGCTATACAACATCACGCTACGATCAATAGGAGCAAAGCAATAATGAAAAATGTTCCGGTTTTCACGCGTAGGAAGTCGCGGGCACAGCTAGTAAATTATATTATTATTTGTAGGTTTTTGATTACACGTCAACCACTGTCTTCAGAAAATGAGACATGTTTAATCAAAGTTCTGTTTTCTTTTAAAAGAAAAGTATTTTACTTTCAAAATAGGACAGACAATATCTGTCAAACTAAAAGTTCTAGATTTAAGACAGCATTTACATCAATTATTTCTGAAATACGTTTCGCCGTATTTCATTTTACAGGGCAAATTAGAAATTAACTTTGACAGTTATTCGCAAAGGATGGAAACTTTTTCNCGCGTTACATAAGTTATTTTAAATATTTTCGCGACTTCTTAATAACATTAATTGTACACGAATGTAATGGAAAAAACCGACCAAGAAAAATCAGTCATCTTATTTTATGCGGTGTGATAAAAATGTTAAACTTGGCACTACATACAATTCGGCTGATTGGTCGGTGATGACTGATGAAGGTCAGATTTTAGTTATTTTAACCGGATTCACACATGATGAAAGTGAATGTGTTTATTTATAGCATACGGACCAGTAGCTTTATAGTAGGATTTATAGTAAGGTAAAACATGAGCACAGTTATTATTATTATCTATCCACATATATGTATATCACCATGTTTTAAGCAAATACATTTATTTGATTTTGATTTTATTTTTAGCACTACGTACGAACCAATGGTCGTTCGTTTTACTGGTAAAAAGGTCTGGAATTTTATATTTTAAAAAGTGTAACTGGTGCTAAGCCTAGTATCATATTGAATTGATACAGTTTAGATTGATTGTTGTCTGAATATCCAGTACCTACTTTCTCGCCTACTACTTAAAGAATGTTAAACCCAAGTTCAGAGATCATCATCACAGAAATAGTAATAGAAATGGTAAATACTCGTACCATTAGCATACCTATATTCCTTTCTTAGCTCGAACACGAGTATTATGTCTTTTATCTTTTCTAATTTCCCATGGCCTTGAGCTAATTCCTCGTGCTGGCTGAATGCAGATAGGGGCGGTGTGCTTAAGCGTTTTATCGCAGTCATAAGGAAGCTCCGAGGAAAGTCTTAGGTGGCATGCTGCAAGAAATCCAGCATGATAAAGATGTTATAAATCGTATTCGTGTTGGAATTTTATCATAGTTCCTGCAGTTCACTGAATATGACCAAGGTTACTAATATGGAGCCAATACCTATTCGGTTAAAGCAAAATCGATTTTATTTAGCGTTAATGCAATAGCAGTATAAGCGTTTTATAGCCAGCTATAAGGAAGCTATCTTGGAGGCTGGCGTGGCACGGGCGTCAGGAATCAGGATGATAATGGAATGGTTATTCCTGCAAAATCTGCAAAGTTTACGTAACGACTTCCATCATTGGAACTATATGTACTATAAACAAACGAAAACAACTGTCGCTGATCATAACCATACTGTCCCGCGAACGAATAGAACTCATTACAATTTTAATTTCACGCATGACGCCATTGCCAATCATATTGCAGTGTTTTTTTGCTTCGCTAATTTTATTTATCGTTAGACGAATGACGAAATCGGCGAGAAGGAAGTAAAGTAATTGTCCTTTTGTTTTGGCAACATTTTTAACTTATTCGATTTGTACAAGCAATGTAACAAGTGAAAATTATACAATTTCTTACGAGGAAAGCCCGCAAACCATGTATTGTTCCTTGCATAAAACAGTATTGACATTTCAAATATCAAATTGCTGCCAAGGCCTTCATTTGTGTGCCAAAATTCTGAAGGCACTCGTGCTCGATTCCGCCCAGCCTCCCCGCCCTTCGTCCCCTTGTCCCATAGGACATGGGCCTTTATCAGAGCGGCTTTATGAGCAACATCAGAAGCCGGCACACTTATAAATGGAATCAGGCTTTACTACCCTCCCCTCCGTGGAGGGAACTCGCTGGAAACCCGTAAATATTCTGCGATGCTACCGCTTTTATTTGGAAGCAAAATGGGATTATGCCTTTACGAAAATGTTATCCGTCATTCGGTTATTGGAGTGACCTTAGTAAAAGGGCAGTGTAGAGTTATTCTACTGTCTTCCGCCTGCATGCTTTATTCTGTCTCCAACGTGAATTGTATTAAGGTTTTATTGATTGCTTCTTTGATATCAATAACACACTTGTGTACATATAAATATGTATCATATTTAAAAAGAAACTAACACTGCAAAACGGTGTAAAGCAACACCGTCCAGCGGAAAAGGCTGGACTCGCGGAAAAAATCTCAGCAGAAACGTGCTAGTCACGAATGTTAATATATTTAGATCTGGTTTGTTTTTGTTAGGCAATAGTTAGCATAGTTGGTTAGCGGCGTGTGTGCTCATTGAATATGTATCGCCGAAGGTCGGTCAGTGCCAGCAAGGTTACGACAACCACACAGGTTATCACTTCAGTAATTACCTATAGCAATACTTTAATTAAAGGACTCGGTGACTTGAAAACAACGTGAGCAAACAACAGTAAAGCCACAGATGACTAAAGTATAGCTTCGTTTGTGTTACCATAATGAACTGTATTGCATAAAGTAGCTTTATTTGACCTCAAGGAGTTGAATGTCTTTAATTGAAACCATTGACGAACATTCCCTTCAACAGATGTTGATATCAAAGTGCCGCTTTTTGGGACTTTTTCTTTAAATATCAGTAGGTAGTCAAGTTCATCAGTCCCCTTGAATTTCATAAAATCATTGAGAATATCGTCGCCTGTTTGTCTGTCCTTGGTAGACATAGACAATATAAAGTTCGTTTATTGCTTGGGGAATTCGACATTATTTCGTGAAGACGACTTGCTTACCTGGGCCGCCATTTGTTTGACTTTTAACCGTGAATGATATTTCATGGCCACCTTACTCGTAGTCGTAACAATATTGTAGTACCTATTCTCTAGTTATTTATTTGACGTTCTCACGCTACTCTGAACAGGTTATACAATGGTTTATGTGATCTGTGCAGTATTCTTACTGTATGGTGGATTAGTCACTTAAGTTTCTCTAAACTTTTAAGCCAAGATTACTGTCTAAGGAGTGTAATGAGGACATACCTACGTGATAAATTAAATTATGTATAAGAGCCACAAGGGAGTGTTAGGCAACACAAGTTACATGGTAATGTTCTAGAAATTCAGCAAAATGTATATGATTTATTTTACTTACTTACCCTTGAAGTATGAACGTCCATTAATCGCAGCTTAATTATGTCGTCAGACGTTCATTTATTTAAAAACTGAAGCGAAATTTTCGTTGGCATTTATAAATTCCCTTTGGTTTGTTCCGTTCGCGTCTGTTGAGCGGCGGCCAGATCGCGGGCCGCTCCAGATGATAAATGGCCGCGATTTTTTACTACGAACGAGACATCCATAACTGCCGTAGGTGTTTTATTAAAAACTGGTTGTTGTTTTCGTATAACCCACGATCTCAATAGCCGATGGCCATATTGCGAGAGCAATGTCAGCAATGTGTTTTGGATCTCACAATAAATAGCGCGATGCTTTGCTCAAATTGATAACTCCAACGAAAGTCGAGAGGCTTGCGTATTTTCACCGTTAGTCAAATAATAGGAATTTCCTGAACATTTTCAACGTCACATGTTTTGATGTTTCATAAGCATGACTTATTCACACAGTGAACATTGTCATTATACAGAATTAAATTGTTATTGTCTCTTGGTTGTATAATATGAAAATCAAATTCTGTTAATTGCATTGTTTTTACGTATGATTTATTCAGGTGCGTATGCATTGTATGTAACTGTATGTAAAACAAACATGTGGTTATTTTGATACTGTTTGTTTTGTTGGCTTAATAATAGGTTTTAAGAACCGTAAACGTTAAATTATGTATAGCTACTTGCATTGCCTGTGATTATTACCTGCTCTATGTGTTTAAATCTTAAATACATAATAATATGTGGTATATTAGGAAACAATCATTTTGTATTCTTGTGTTTGTGGTACGCTATTATTTACTCTGCCTACATAGAGTAGCATGTTTACTTCTTGTACTGCTGTAAATTACAGAATTACTGCTTTAATAGACGTGTAATTAACAGTAGTTCTCTATAATCATCGATGTGAGCTACATAGACTTGTCTGGTATTCCATTAAACCAGTTATGAAACAAAGGGTAAAGTAAAATGACATTATAAAGTTTTTTTTAAATGTAATTCCTGCTAGTACTTGATATAGGAACTCTAAAAATTTTACATATTTTCTACTGACTGTATCCAAAAAATTCGAATTGCAAAGCAGTATTTTGCATTTTGGTCCTAATGATACCCATAAAGGGCTCTAAAAGCATTTTGCAGTTACAGTAAGTCACGGAAGCCTATGGCCAGGTATTGTGGTGTCTTATAAATTGTTAACGAGGTCTTTTCAGGCTACCCCTCCTGGAAACGGTTCTCCGGGGGTCCTTTAAACATTGAAGTATGTGCTGTTCCCAGCACCGCTCCCCTTCGCAGAAAGGCTTACTCTGTTATGATTACATTCATTCAAAATCAAAAAATCAAAATCAAAAATATTTATTCAGTTTAGACCACAAGTGGCACTTATGAACGTCACAATAGAAAATAATAAAAAAGGAAAAGGTAGCCCTTATGGGGCACTTTACATGTCTCCTTATCTTTTGGGCCCTACCAGCGCTTCGAGACAAACATATGGCTTTATTATACTTTTTTATTATACTTTGTACAGTTAAAACTTAAAATCCACACTTACATTATGGCTAAAGCCAGTATATTTAAATATCAGAAATATTTAAACGAAATATTAACGACACATACAGACTTCTTATTGTGGCTCCATGTGCTCCAACCAAACCTTTTGATTTGAATTTTGATTAACCTAATTGAAGTGGGCAGTAGACAATAACTCGACCACTTACAAAATTAACTCCTTAATTGATATGGTACTGAGTTTATACTTTTAGCGGACATTTGCTGTATGGAACAAAAATATAATCAAAATTCCAGTAACCTACCTAATTGTCATTGTTTATTATATAGATATTAATATTTAACTTTATTATCAGCATGATGATGAAGCGAACGCATGCCCGCCAAATGTCATTGGGATTGCAAGTCGTAGAACTGAGCGGAACTCGATAAATAAACGTGTTCCTTTATTATAAACTGGAAATACGAAAACAATGTCATTTGCATCATTTTAATCAGAATCATTGTAGAAGAGAAGCAAAGCTACAATGAATTTGGAAACTAGACTACAGAGATTTCGACAGTACGTCAAGTTAAGGGCACTCTCTGATTCAGCAGCAAAAATTTAGTCTGAAATGCAGTAACTATTTTACCTTGTTTACGATGTAGGTGGTACGATCGTTGCTGATGGTGATTATCAAATCACTCGATAAGTCGATAGTCGACCACACGTTACGCTTGCCTGCCTCACCTTATTGCTGATTGATCCAATTCCGAAGGCATGCACCAACTTGCACGAAGGCCGCGTATCAGCCCGACCTTTAACCAGTTTTACATAACGATTAGGTACTTTTGCTTAAATTAATCGGAATCATAAGATTTAAAAAAATCAATAGCAGAAGAAAGAGTGCAGACTATTGAATAACACTCGTAACATTGCAGCTCAGCTCTTGACAATATCCAATCTTTTTCCATTTTCTTACCACCACCATCTTACCCAGAACAATCGAGCATAGCTTTCTATTCTGCATTAACGGACGGACCATTGGGTTTGTGAATATTCCTAAACGTTCAATTGTTGAACGATAATCTACCAGTTAAATTCCCCTCTTGAATTGGGTAGTCCTTTCCGCTCGTGCTTGTTGTATACCAAGGTCATAGAGACAGTGTTTTGCAACGCACCGCGAGCGAAACGAAACGGCAGGTCCGCGCAAGCCGTCTGTCTCTGCGTTCATTGACCTACTGAACCCTCGCGGGACGATCGCGTGCTCGCGTCTGACGTCTCACTGGAAAATGCGCGCCAAAATTATTTTAGCGGGAAATCGAACAATGCAACGCATTCACTCGCAATCGCAAGTGACTAGTGTGGGTTAGGAGGGGTTAGGTATAAAAATACCTAACCTATTTCGGTAGCCAATAGCGATAAAATAGAACCCGATTAATTACATAATCTCCTATCATGGATAAATCCGAATAACGTTTATAGTGATAAGTATTGGGTTTCCAAGTGTTCCGATGGCGGTAATATACCTAAACTATCTAATCTATTCTAGTTGTCATACAGTAGTACATTTATAATATTAGTAAGAACCTCGAAATCAAAAAAACCTTGTAGCTTTTCACCTATTCGCATTTCTTGTAGTATAATTTTTGATCGCTAATTACAATTGTCTAAAAAATTCATAGTAGATTTACTTTCCTGCCTGTAGGCTTAATAAATAGGCTATTGATAAAATACATGCTACATCAAAATTTGCTACTGTTGTAAAAATCTGTACATAAGTTGTGTATCATCATCATATGACTGTTCAACGAACAAATAGACCTCCCCGATTTCTCCTTGGTTGCGCTTTTTTAACCGCGTTGTAAATTCTACAACCTAACTATTCGTTGGCCATTGATCATTCATTCGCACGCCTCCATCTTTCTGGCTCTGGCGGCTCACCCCACACTGCGCTTCATTGGTTTATAACTCCACTCNCTCCACTTGAAAACTCATCGACCCCATTCAACGGTTGAATGTTCTCCGGAAAATATCTTTTTCATTCCAAAGTTTATTCAACGTTGGAAAAAACATCATTATAAAAATTTCCATAACTTACCATAACGTGAATTTCTCATTCACTCTTAAAATAGCTTTCAGATTCTTCAGGTCTCGCATACACTTGTAAAACCTTAAGTTCCAAAAAATTTGGAACGCTTCACGATTTTGCGTGTCATCCTTGCGCTATGCTAATCTTCTTTGTATCGTTCCAATTTTATTATAATATGATGTACCTACTGCCGAAGCAAGTGCACTAAAAATAAAGAAAAACATTTTCATACTTACCTCGGACAAAAATTTTGATACCGCGATTCAGTTCTCCATACATTTGGGGTGCGCTCCCTACTAGCTCCTTAACAACGCCATCTATCGACACAGGGAGAATAAACTGTGTTAATCGTGAAGCTATTCATGAATGCGTTTGCCTGACTGAATGTCTCCAAATGCACAACAAGGCTAATGTTATTATTTTAAACTTCAGTTAAGAATTTCCGTATGAAATCCAGTTTATCTCCGATAGATTCTGTGCTGATAGTTGTAAAGCTGCAGCTATGATCTTAGCGTTTGGCCTAGTTTCGCAACCTTGACGTAGTACTGTTTCTAATAATAATGGCGGACTGGTTTCACGCGCACGCCAACCCAGAGTACTGAATTTAAAATAAATAAACAAACAATATTATTGCCTACTGAAGTATTCGGATTTTGAGCTAAAAATGATCTCAATCAATGGAAATTTGTACTCTACAAATATGTTTAAATGAATTGCTTGAACCCTAACAGGGTTAATAATAATAATTATTAGACGAGATTCAAAATTCTTCAAAGCCTAAATTTCTACAAGGCCTATGTTATTTTATAAAAGCTGAATCATTAATGTAAGTTTCTTTCTAAGCTTATTGTTGAGGGATAGAAATTGTCTAAGCATCAAATCTGGTAATGGATAATGTGCTTTCTATTTTGAAGAAAAAAAGTTATTGAGTTCTATACAACGAATTTTAACTATATTTCGATCTTAGTTGTGATAAGGACATGAGCAGAGAAACTTTCAGCTTTTTATAAAATATCGTGTAGGTCTGGCCCTCACGGCTTTTGATTGTAGAAATCTATATTTTTACACAGATTTACAGAAGATAAAGTCTCAAGGTATTTTAATTCTAAATTCTGATAAGGTGCCAATGAAAATATGCTTTGTTACACAATTATCGTAAGGCTATTCATGCGGTGCGAATCACGACGGTAATGCGAAGAAATTCTGAATCGTTTGGTTCTGCACACGTAACTCTTTCTTCTCACTGTCGCATAACATTGGTCAAGGTTTTACTTGGTTTTAAATGAACACGAATAATATTATAATATATTATTTTTGTGTTAATAAATGTTATTAAAACTAAACTTCCCAGTCACCACCCGTAACATGAAATAACTGTCTACACAACTGTCTATAAAGGAGTAGAAGTTACGGAGATGCGAATTTGTTAAATTACATTAATGCTCTTTTGTGGATTATCTTATTTTTGAATGAAAAAACTTTAGTAACTTATCTTTAATAAGTAAATAATATATAATCATAACTTTAGTAGTGCTATACTTGCGTGGTTACCGATCTATTTCACGTTTTTCCTGTTTCTAGTTGTGTTCTCGTATGCAGCAGACAACAGACGGCTACAAACAAAGCCGGTGCACTAGTCGTAGACATTTGTTCATCGTCTCTGTCTGACGATTGCTACTCGTAAACCTGAAATGCAATTTGGCATCGAATTAGTTCGGGTTGAGTGGGGTGGTCTGGCTCCGCTTTGCCATTCTGCGAACTTATCGCAGAATTCGACATTACAAATCCTATAATGCATGAGGTGTATTTGAAAAAATATCTTTCATAGTTAAACTCCCATACGTCATACACCATAAACGTATATTCCTAAATCTATGCTGAGTTTATCATACATGTGAAATAACGTAATTATTCTACGTATTGTATTTGTAAGTATTTACCTAGGAAGTTTCTGTTCATCATTATATTAATGTACGCTTCAAAGATTGTTTACAAAAAAACGCGTTAAACCTTCAACGCAATCCATAATGGGCTTCAGAAAAATGTGAGACACAATCACGCACAGTTGCGATGCGAGCCTCGATTACCTGCTAATGTGTTTGTGAACCATCTGTTTATGTAAATAACACATACATAAGTAATATTGCCCTAGCACGTATATCGCGGCCGCGATACTAAGGCAAGGTCGTATCGCGTTGCTCGTGACAGTAGGGCTTCGGGTGAAGTAGGGCAAACGGAGCGCGCACGCGAATTCGTCGTACCTATCATTCGGGTGGATGCCAGTATTTAATGAGACAAACCTTGCATAACTGTTCTCCTTAGATTTGTTTGAGTCTAGTATGTGGAACATTGTAAACCACATTATACAATTCCATTCATCCTCCCTCTATTACATCACACTCCAAAAATCTCATCACAATATTGAGATCGGAATCGGGGAGCCGGAATAGATTTTATCGTCGGAGATGCAAAATGATTATCAAAATATGGCATGGCACGCCATCGTGCCACCCTGGTGGTTGTTGGTAGAATAGTGCATTCGAGGTGACTGGTAGTGACTGTCTAGAATAGGTTTTTACTACCCTACCTAGTTAAATAATTTTTTCACAGTTTCTAATTTTTTGTTGTCATATCAATCAGCTCGAATTATCGAGAGAAGATTTGGCAGGCTCGTTCTCTCCATCAAGTTCAAGTTCAAGCTGAAACGTTTAGTTGCCTATACATTTTCCATTTAATAAAATTCTTGTACCGCTATTGTCTCTATGAGTATGAGTAAACTGAAGTCTTTACCACAAAATAGGATTTTTCTTTACTCATGTGTTGGCTATCAGACCAACAAGAGAAGTTCATTACATCATCTAGATTCTAGCTAGGTAATTCGGGGATACTTACAATATTAATCTAATTTGGAAATAATAAAAATGGCAGGTAGGCGAGGTAGCTTAAAACTAAAGTAGTTATTTTTTTGAAGTTCTTAACAAGATCTACGGGAGAAAATCCAAATGGCAACAACCATTACAAGTTACCTACAACAGAATAAGGATTGTTGCAGTGCACAGTGTCTGTTCCGCTCCGCATTGTAATAATAGACAAATAAGAAACTAGGTACTGTGCGTTACGATTTAATAAGTTAAAGATTCAATATGATGTTGTGCCACCTACCTATAGCAGAGTAGGCTACTACAGACAGTCTGTTGTTTGTGATTTCGTAGTACTCGTAAAATTGTGAATCAAAAAGTGTTACCCACTCTTTTCACATGTGAAAGTTGATTTGTTATTGTATCTATCTCTTTTTGGAATCGGTTATCTCTGTCATTGCTTTTTTATGGCTTGCCGCGCTGTGGGCGCGGCTTCTCCGATGCGTCCCTATGCAGTGGTTGATACCGGTATTGCCATCTAGTGGCAAAATATGGAACCAGTGAACGTCTGCTTTAAAAAGCACGCGAGTCACATGTCACTAAGGTTTACAATAATGGCCAGAGATGGCGCTAGTAATATTTTGTTTTTATGTATTTTGCTATCTAAAATATGTAAAGTAATAAATACTTAAATTTTTAGTATCTCAAAGTATTTCTCTTTTTGTTGCAGGTGTTAGTGGAATATGATGGTGTAGATTGGCAACGCCGTGAGTGGGTGGCTGTGTATTCTCGCCGAACGTTTCGTGTGTTTTTAGTGGAAAGAACTTTAGTTTGGGCTCCGAGAAATATTGAAGGAAAAGAAGTCAAATGGCCTGCATTGGTGAGTTGTTTTTTTATTTGTTGTGAATAGCATCCAAAACGATTCTTTATTCTGTGGTTGAGTACGCTATGATGTTAATGCCCGTTCAGAGATGGCGCTAGTAGTTCAAAATTTTACGAAGAAACGATTTCCTTAAATTATTTAAAAAATGCTGAATTATAAATAAATGAAATAATTATTTGATGTACTCATTAATATGCTGAAATTAATTGTTGAATTAAGTTAAATTTATCTTCACATATAAAGTTCGATTGGACGTTACTAGATGGCGTTACAAGTATTTTATCAACCAACATGCTTATAATTTTATTATAATTCTTACTTTCTCTAAGGCGGTTTTTTCAGGCGTTGGCTTGGGTAATTTTTATTTAAAAACTTAAGTTATCAGCCATTCAAAAATTGCTTTTAATTACTTTTTACTCTGAATTTATGATCAAGCTTTTGATCTGGTCAATTAATTAAACCTGACTTTTTAAACACACTATAGGTACAATTTTTCTTACATCTTAAATTAATTAGTTTTTGTAATCGTTTATTTGCTAGTATAGGTCCTACCTAGGTCTTACCTGTGAACTTAACTTTATTATACTCATAGATAGCTAATATTACTAATTAGTTCTTAGTATAATAAGTTAGCTATTTAACTTACATAATCTGCATTGACTTTACATTCATACTAGGGACTCTCGCTAGAGCGGTTTGAATCCCATGCGTGATGTTTTGGTTATAGGTATCTTGTTTAGTTTGAAAACTGCATCGCAAATAAGCTGACCCCATTAATTCAGTCACTTTTAAGTGCCGCCTCAAGCCCACTGGATTTTAACTTCTCCTTATAACTTTTTCATTAAAATTTTCAAAGTCACACCATTATTATATTTGGGTCAGATTCCATAATATGTATTAATGAATGGAATGTTTATTTGAATCCTTAATGAATGATTCAAATAAACTCAAGTTTCATAGTGTTGTTGACTGAACACACCATGGAGGATACATAACCATAGCGACCTTATTTGTGACCTCCATCGTGCATAATGCACGCCTCTCTTTGCATGCAGGTCACGTTTTGCCCTCTGTCGACGCATAACGATTTCCTCTTACGCGCTGACACGAAATCTTGGGATGACATTGTGCTTTGTCGCCTTCGAGTATCACGATTTTCGGATTGATTCTGAGAATTTCCCACGTTGAATAGCCAGTATCATTGCATTTTCATCATCATTATCTCAGCCATTGGACGTCCACTGCTGAACATAGGCCTCCCCCAACATCTCATGGACATCATAAAGGTACCAGGAAGACGCTGGACGCAGCTCAGGCCGTTACCAACCGGGCAACATGGAAAGCATTGGGGGAGGCCTATGTTCATTGCATTTTAATCTGTAGTTATTACATATTATGTAAAGTGGATGTCATTGAGGAACGAGTGTGGAGATAAATATCTTTTAATTGCGATTACATTATGCAGTCTTGTCAGTAACTCGACCTTAACAAGCTCACTTAACCTTTTTGTTGAATGAATGGACGACAAGCTGAGGTTTTCCATAATTACTGATAATACTTAAGGATTTATGCTGAGTTGCACCACCTAACTTTGAACGTAACTTTGACGATAACCGGTGTGTTTTGTATAGAGTTTGACAGATTTTTGACGTTTGTTAAAGTTAAAGTAAAATGGTGCAACCCAGCCTTAAAGAGTGAAATTTATAAAAGAAATTAAACTGAACATTAATCGTTACTTAAACTCTTCAAAGAATATTTGAAGTTGATTGATGGTCTAATTTCATCTGTAATAAATTTAAAACCTGTTATTAATAGGTCAAAAGTCGAAAACTTGATTAAAAAGTCAAATTTTAATGTATTATTATTATTATAATTTAATTAGATTCGTCTACTTATACATATGTATAAAACAATGAATATTTATTAGAACATTGATTAGGTAATATGCAAATAGGTTAATTCAAACACATGTAATAAGATTATGTTATTAAATAATAATAAACCTAATTTACATGTATAAAAATAAATTTTAAACGCTATACATATTTTATACGAATAAAATGTAGAGTCCAGAACCGATGAACTGATTTTGTCGATCGTTGTAATTAATGTGTGTAATTACCGACAGAGTGATTAATGGTCACTAAACAAGTGTGAATTGGTACGAAAAAAAAAGGAAAATTGCGGGCTTGTATTGTAGTGTGTAAGCTGCAATTACATTTTTGGCTACATTTTATTTAACTGTTAAAATTTGTGCCAAGTCAATTGATCAAACGATTTCCAAGTAAAACGATGTTACCAAGAACCATTTTACTAAATTAGTGCTATCGATTTGACTATTTAAGTGATCGGCTCAATCAAATCAAACTCATCGTCCACTGCTAGACAGTCTGGGAATTTGCCTCAAAACAACTTCGATTTTACTTACTCATCCAAATTGAGCATTGTATCGGAAATAGAACATTTAGGTAATGAACGTGAAAGAGTTGTTTTCTTTTGTAAATTATGTTTGAATATTGGCTGTGATATTAATTATTGTAGATTGACTTAACAGTCTCTATAAACGAATAAAACCAATATTTTCATGTTAGAACAGAGATTTTGCTTATAAGAAGTTTAATCTTCTCAGCACTTGCCAAATGTTTGTCTCGAAGCGCTGGTAGAGCCAAAAAATTAATGAGACAAGTACTTAAAAAGTTTTTTAACGGCAAAATATGATGATTTGCAAACATTAGTATTATTTATTAGATAAGTCCAAACAAATTAAGAAATTTTTGATTTTGAATCTGTCTAATAGTTACTGAGTTTCTTGTGCTGCTTCTTCTCAGCCCATTTATTGTCGCTAAGCAGCGGTAGGATTAAAGTAATACTGGGACGTGTAGAGAGCTTTTTAAAAGCGTTCTTGCAAAAATAAATGACTTTTTTATCTACTATAGTGTTTCGTTTCAGCCAAATGACGTCCACTGCTGGACAAAGGTCTCCCCCAAGGATTTCCACAACGACTGGTCCTGCGCTGCCCTCATGCAGGTTCTTCCCGCGACCTTCACCAGATCGTCGGTCTACCTAGTGGGAGGCCTGCCCACGCTACGTCTTCCGGCCCGTGGTGGCCACTCGAAAACTTTTCTGCCCCAACGACCATCATCTCTATGAGCTAAGTGCACCGCCCAACTGCCACTTGATTTTAGAAATACTATTGTGTAAAGCCTGGTCCGTGAGCACGTAGAATTTTGTCCAATGACCCCAAGCTACCCATCCTTATCGCTCGCGCGTAATTATATTGCTGTCGCGACTGTGCGAGGGGCGCCCGCAGTTTCATGCCTTATTTCTTTCTATTGACAGACGTTCACACCCCTGGCTGCGGACCTGACGCTGCAGGCCGATGCTCAACCAGTAGAGTTTCTTCATGATCAGCAACTCGACTTCCTGGACTACGCGAACCTTCAACCCTATCAGGTAAGTAAATCGTTGAATATTTGACCTTTCCACTGACGTGTAGTCACCGCTGACACCACTGCAGGGACTCCAAGATACCACCTCTGTAACATTATGGATGCAATAAAGAATTGAGTATTGAGAATTGAGTAAAATAATAACGTGATTTCATTCGACAGCAATCATTACACAGTATAAAACAAAGTCGCTTTCTGCTGTCTGTTCCTATGTATGTGCTTAATGCTTAAAACTACGGATTTTGAAGCGGTTTTGTTTAATAAAGGAATTGAAGAGGAAGGTTTTTAAGTATAATTTGTGTCTATGCGAAGCAGGGGCGGGTCGCTAGTTGAATATAAAACCCTGCAACGGCTGCAACTACAAAATGGTTATAATTTTTTGTTTCAGTTGTCACTAAATTTTTCAATTTAATGATACAAGATACTCGTACCCTACATCATATCTAAAAATTTATTAACACAGTCACAGTGAAAATATATTAAATAAATATCATTATGAAATGAACGTAACATACGCGCATATAATTATCAAACAATAACACACCACCCGTATGCTTTGAAAACATGTGCAATGTGCATATCGTAAAATGCAAATAGAATAGACCTGTTCCATTATCCGTATCTATTAGGGCTCATTGTAAATGCGTTATGCAAGGAACAATGATGAGACTGCAGTGGAAACGCCGCGTCATTACGTCTGATTCATTCCGAACACGTAGCAGTAAATCCAGCATTTATAAAATGATATTAAATTCTCAGTCTTGTTCTTTTACTGTTTACGATCTGAACAGGTTTGTTGTTTACGGTATAGTTGCGCAATTAAAACTTTGCTAATGTTTTGGAACGCTGTTCCCAGTATTGCTCGAAACAAAAGTGTTATTAACTTTTTGATTCGCATTTCAAGTCTCGTTTTTTTAGTGAAATTAAGTAATAAAAAAATACGTGGAGAAGATTTAGATGTATGTTTTCTAATGGTAAATTGGTAGACACTATTCTTATTATAGTCTGAATTTGAACAAGAAAACTCAGAGCATCACTCATTTTTTTGTTATTTTATGTCAACTTAGCAAATAAATGGATGTGGGCAAGAAGACTGCATACCTTGTATTAGTTTTTTGCAAGATAAACGAGCTAATGCGGGCTCTCAGTGCGGTTGATATATTGCTCGAGTAAGTTTCATTTGTACTCCGTTATTCGTAACTTATATTTATCTACCATCTCGCTTATTCCAGCCTCAAGCATTACAGCGCTGATGTTTATGCGGCCGACAAATCTGTTTGTTTTAGTAAAAGCAGCATCAAATTCTGACACATAAATTGTCTCTTATAATTTATTTTCAGTTACAATAACAAGGCCCTTTTTAAATCTTTTCTTACACGGTAAATGCTTTATTTTATTTGAAATGCTCCAAAATTTTCCTTAAAACAAACGAAAGCGTATAGATAAGGAAAAGGAAAATTAATAAAACATTCAAGAAAGAAAAACAGGCGTGCTAATTTGAAAGCGAATTTGATATGCCGTCCCTTGTGTTTGCTTTAATCTCCGGAGTGGGATTATCGTGCGATGCAGATTGCAGATGGCGGATGGTGGACAGTAAAAAGCGGAACGCATAAGCGACCCAATTCCAAGTGAGACGATAGGAGTGTTTATCCAAAGTTGCGCGCCCGGGCGAAGTGGGGAGATCAAGGACGGTGTCTGCCAAACATGGGGAGGGTTTCCCCGGGTGACGGGTGGCGGGCGGTGGCCGGGCCCGGGAGGTGATCTGGCGCGGGGAGTGGTATGTTTTGATGCTCGCCGCCCGCTTTATTGATTTTCCTCGGCGTTCCGCCCGCACCACCCCCTTTATTATATACATATCCCGAGCCAGGTGGCGGCTGGTGGTAGTGTCGTGCTATTTTCGGTTAGCCCGGCCACCTCGTGGAAACATGATTGATTGGTAGCTACCCCGCGCGAAAGCCACTTTTATTGTCGTTTTTGCAATTTCCTTGCCCCGAGAAGTTTTATACCGTTCATTATTTTCCAATTAAACTTTAAGCTCATTGGAAATTTGATATCGTTTTATTAGTCTTAGATAGGTATGACATTTAATAATGAATTATAATTTTCATGGAAATAATGTAGGTCCCTAATGAAAATTCTTAGATCGTGTCCACTAATACTTTGATTAATTGAGCCAATTTAGATATTATATTTTTTGCATAATATTCTTTAAATGTTTTTCTTCTACTCAATGGTAGGAAAAGTAATTTATTTTCGCTTTGGCGACATTATGTGATCGTATAATGGCGGCTTAGAAACTGTTTCTTTACTTGAAAGCTTGTTACATGTTTCAAAGAAAGCGGTTATTCGATGGTTAATAAAGTTTTGTGCCATTGTTATTAGTGGGGTACAAGTATTTTCTTTTAAGACTCGCTCTTTATATCTGTCTTTACGGAGTGAAAATGTTTTGACCGGCTTAACGGGATGCTTTGTACTCGTATTACGGCTCTAACATTCTTTATATGGATAGTTAAGTGAGTGTGTTGCGATAACGTTCTAACTTTCGTGTAACAGTAATCCGTGGTATAATAAGAAATATCTAGAGTAAGTTATTAATATTGTGTAAATGTAGAGTTTGTTACATTACATTCTAATGAGCTCATTATTATTAGATAGAGAGGTTATCTTGAACCTCGTTATTGAAAAGAATCCAACAAGTAAGGTTTCGAAGAACTTAGCAGTATACAAACACATAAACCTAGTTGTTAGGCTTCCCTTTATAATTAAAAACTCAATTAAGCAAGCCGAGTAATAGAAGTTCGGGTGGTTTCTTAACTCGCTCGTGGCTTGCATGCACGCAGTCCGACTCCGGAGCCAGTTGCCGCAAAATTTAAACGAGTAAAGTTTGTTTCAGTTAGCTTACTCCACTGTCCATCCCCACCCACCCCCACCCCGTGGCATTGATACCGTGTGTTAGACACAAGTCAAAGTTACTTTGTACGTGCTCTCCCGAAGCGGGGGTGGCCGTCTTTTGAATAGTAATTTATCAGGCAATTTCGTAAGGTCGTGGAAAGATTACACTTTGGTATTAACAAACTTGCTCGTACTTCAGCTTCGTTTGAGGCGTCAACTAACAAAGATGTGCGCTGAAAAATCTGTTGCGTCGTGGAAAATTTGGATTAGTAATTTGAGGCTTCCGGCGACTGGGACCGCAATTAACTAGGACCGCGGTCCCAGTCGCCGGATCCATAAAAAAAATTTTTCTTCCGGCGACTGGGACCACTCATAGATAACTTAAAAGAAAATATTATTCAATCCAAAATCGGTACAGTACTAAAATCCATGAGTGGTCCCAGTCGCCGGAAGAAAATTATTAAATTTTTACGCATCCGGCGACTGGGACCGCGGTCCCAGTTAATTGCGGTCCCAGTTGACGGAATCCTCGTAATTTGAGTAATTTCACTTTACCTAGTTCTTCTTCTTTTCCTAGTTCTTGTGAATGCTGATTTGCATAACTTAGCAGCTGTAATCACTATACTAAACCAGACAGCAGTACCTACTAGTATAAATATTCGGGAAGTACGAGTATAATGTAGGAAGATAAAGATAACTTACATGTCACACTCAAGCTTTTTAGTTTGCTTTGTTACGCCACATTTCTTTTCAGACTCAATATTCATGAGCGCTGAACTGGAAATCGTGTTTCATGTAAAATTTTGCTCCCTTGAAATTCCAAGGTAAATATTCACGAGAAAGAACAAGTTCAACCTTGGATAACAACTTCAGATATTAGACGGGGTTACATCTTGAAATGTTGAAAAATATAAGGGTTATTCTGTTTTCTTGGAAGATGATATTAGGAAAAAATAATAAGCCCTCGGATACAGTTAATACAATTTTGCGCAGTTATTATAGTCGGAGTGGCTCGGTATTTTGGGACTATATTGTCAGTAAATGGAATCTACAATGGGAGTCATGTGCGTGTACCGACAGCCTTTGTGTCTGCCGCCCGTAGGGCTTATCGTGCCGGTGATATTTCACGTGGACAAACATTTATATAGGTATAATTTATGTATGCATATAATAGCCTATTAGTATCCCCGAATCGTTGATTACACAATAAATAGTAAATGTATTTAATTGTTCAAAGACTATCTATTTGTACTATACTACAGCTACTGATGTGACATGTTCTGACATTTTCATCATTATTTATAGATTTTAGAGGGTTCATTGTGCGTTTGTCTATATACAGTGAAACTTGGTTAAGTGGGACCTGGATAAGTGAGAAACCTCCATAATTGGAACTCATGCTGAGGTCCCAACACTTTGGCACTGAATTACCTCTGTTAGTGGGACAAGGTAAGCCTCTATATCTGGGATTTGTTCTTTCGATTTATCATCATAGTTACCTCTATAACTGAGACAGCGGGTAAATTTTATGCATGCATAAACCTCTGTAACTGAGATAACATTGTTTGTTTACTCATTCTTATTCTACCCACAAATTCCACACGTAATTCCAAGTACGTAAGTTCAAATTTTGAGCTTCAATTACCTTCAGTTTTAGTTTCGCTTTAGGTACTATCATACAGATGTTTATTTGAAAAATGCCAAAACGAAAGCTACAACCGTTATCATTACGTGAAAAACTGCATTTAATATCCGTTTATGAAAGTGGGAAGACACTTCTCTGCATGGCTAATGAACGGTTTACAGAAAGAGATTCCTTACGGTATTCCTGCAAGATTCAGCCATACACCATAACATTAGGAAAATAACTTGTAATGTATTCCTGACTTTTTATTACCATGCGAAATTGCGAAGTAGCAATATATTTTTTGCCACACGACCACAGAACACAATTTGAAGTTCGCGCATATTGCATCTACCCTCGCATTGTGCGCAGCGAAAGAAACCTACGAACCTACAATTTATGGCGCCGCAGTTGACGCGCTGTACAGTGGCTGTGTGTGGTGTGTGTGATAGTGCCAGCTTTTAGTTTTACCCCACCAACGAATGGAA